TCTCATAAGAAAATACCTATATTTTAACAAAAAAAAAGAAGGAGAAACATAGTAAAAAGAAAGTGTCCACGCTTCTTATAGTTTAGCAAGGGTCTCGGTCTCGGTTGGACCACGGATCCGTGCCTTCCTGGCACACTGAAAGAGAGAAGGGAGGCCACTCATAGTTTTCTCTTCAGCCAAAATTCCAATAATTCTCTTTCAAATCAATTTAAAAAAACAAAATTGAAAAGCCCGGGTCAGTTGACATTGGTGGAAACTGACCTTTTTACAATTTGATAAATAAATGTAATAACACCATTTTTAATAGCCACCAGAGACAACCTCAAAGTCTATTACTATTCTGATTTTAAATATAAAACTCATTTTATAATACATTTTATATTTAAAACTAAACAAGTGTAATTTTAAATCACGTCTTGATATGGGAATTATAAAAAATGAGTAATTTATAATTATTTCTGCAATCATTTTTTTAACCTAAAAATATGTCATGGTTTTGATGGGTGTGGACTTTTTTTTTTTTTTTGGTGAAAAAACATTTTTAACAGTTGCTTTCTTAAAACGGAGCGTGGTGGTGGAGGACTTTTTAAACCCTTTGTCATGGATCCCGATGTTCTTTAAATGGTGATCAAGAACTATCTGTCTCTTCTAGATAGCACTGTTGTACACCCGCGAGTCTTGTCACTGTCACTGTGGCAGAAAATATTCACCGTTGATCTCTCAAAGGGTTGGGGTATGATGTGAGATGTGGGGACGTTGATGAGGCGTCTGGATGAGGCCTGATAAGGAGGCCGGCAGGGTATCAGAGAATGGGGTCTGCTCTGATCTGCCTCAAATTTTACAATTCCGTTCATCTGTCAAATCACTCTCCTTTTTCACCCCTCTTCCTTTTCTCTTTTCCCCTCTCCTTTTTGGGACCACTCTAGAGGCCGTTCCATAGAGAAGAATGTATTTTTTTTAACGAGACAAAGTACTTAAATACCTAAAAGTATACATAAAAAGGCATTTAATTTTTTTTTTAAAAAAACTTTTATATGTCATACAAATTTTATTTCGCAGCATTTTGTCCTGAACTACTATACTATATTTGATAAGACGAAAATGTTAAGATAATAACAGAGATGGGAGATTAAATGATCATAATGTCCCAATAAAACTGATTATTTTTTTACTGATATTTTGTTATGTATTGATAATAACTTTCTGTATTTATAATTAAAAAACGATTAATTATATTTATATGTTGATTACCATTACCAATGGAAAAGATAGTTGAGAGAATTCCAATCAAGTCTCACAAAAGAAAAGTAATTACTAAAAAGTCCTAATAACAACCTCAACAGCCTACAATAACAAGTTTTATAGTAAAGAACGATAGCTTTTGAGATTTTTTTTAATTATTTTTTTTGTTTGGGATCTCATTATAATTCTCCCAAGATAGTTTTATTTGAAATAACAAATACGGGTAATTCCCAGCAAGCACCAGATAGGCAGATCAGTTGCTGGTGTCGGGGCATTTTGGACATTCTACAAAGTTTTCCAGCAGAGCCTCGCTATCGCCTCAGGAGGTCAAATGGTCAATGGGAGAGAGGCTTCTGTTGCGAGGATGAAAATGGAGTGCGGAGAGATTTCTCCTCAGCCTGCCAAAAGGATCAAGGCACCAAACGGGATCCTATCCTATTCTGTGTCATAGAGTGCTGTTCCTGGTAACTGTGGAGAGGCATTTCATTTCGTTAATCTACAAGATTCCTTTTTTTTCAGGGACGAAGTGGAGGGAATAATAGTTGTAATAATACTATTTCTTATTATAATCTAATTAATAAATACGTATTATTTTTTTAAAAATATCTTTACTAATCAAATTTATTGGTTAGAACTAGTATAATTAGAAGGGTTATCTTAGAAAACAATAGATAAATATAAAAGACAAAGTAAATTAGATTCTTATATTTAGGACAAAAAAAATCAAACAACGTTTTATATTAAAAGGCAGAGGTAAGAGTAATATGTTATTTCTTGCAATATTTTAACACTGAGGAGGTGTTTAAGTAACCCCATAATCACTTTTCAGAAACACTTTTTATAAATCGAGACAAATTCCTCAATAAATTTACTTCGTATACCGTAAAAGCACTTTTGAAATCATGATTTTATTCTTACCCAAACACTCCTTGAATGTGACATACTATCTCCGGTCCTTAATATAAGATTTTATTTGACTTTTATTTTGGTCATAAATATAAGACCCCAATCCACTTTATCTCTCATATTTATACATTTTTTTCAAAGTAGCCTTTTTAATATTGATAGTTCTAGTTAATACATTTAATTAGTAAAGATATTTTAGTAAAGACAACACCTGTTTAGAATAAATAACTAATTTAATTTATTTTTTTAATCTCTTTAAATTAATTAACTGATTTTTATAATTAAGATCGAAAGTGATATAATTTAAATCCAAACTCCATAACTCGTAGGCACGTAAGCAAGGCAAGCGGGAGGAAACTAGAGAGCATGTAAAACAAGGAAGGACCGGTCTAGTGCGAAAGGCAGGAGGGGTCAATAAGTTTATTTGTATATAGAAAAATACTCCTCCGGTCTTAATTATAAGACTCAATTGATTTATTTGAGGAGATTAAGGAAGTAAGTTAAGTTGGTTATTTATAATAAATAAGTGTTGTCATTCCTAAAATATCCTTGCTAATTAAGTATATTGGCTAAAACTATCGTTATTAGAAGGATTATCTTGAAAAAAATGTATAAATATAAGAGACAAAATGGATTGAGGTCTTATAATTAGGACCAAATAAAAAGTTAAATGGGGTCTTATAATAAGGATCGGAGGAGTATTTTTTTTCTTTTTTGGGTATTTTTTGGCGGGGGGGTGTTTGGTATTAATGTTGCTGTGCAGGGTTGTGACAGCGGTAAAGTGAATAGAAAAGCAAAAAAGAGGACAAAGGGCTGATGTTACGTATCACTGAAGGGGGGGAAGGGGAGGCAGCAGGCAGGCCGCGTCTCCATCAAGCCCTCGTCCTGTTGTGCCGCGAAACCCGGACTCCAGTCCCACCTCCCCCCTGCCTCCCCCCTAATCATCATTCATCTCCCTCTCTCTATTTTTTAATTTATTACCTTTTTTTTTATGAAATTTAATTTATTACCTTTAAAAAGTCTCCTACTATACATTTTAGCCCCCGCAGTCTAATTTCAAAGACCGTTAGCTATTAAATTTGAATATTTTTTTAAACAAAAATTTTAATCGATCTTACTCATTTTTTATGAGGGACTTTTCTCCAACTTTTGTCTGCACTAATCTACTAGTTTCATCTACTAAAAATTGTTTTTGAATGTTGGGGGTAAAAATAGATTCTTCCTAACCATTTATATCAGGATTACAATTCAGAAAATATCTTTTAAAAGGTTAGCTCTAAATATAACTGATAAAATTTGAATATGATTTAATCAAATAATCATATGAAAAAAAAAATCTAACCCTTAATGTTGGCCAAAAAAAAAGTCTTAGATTACTTATTTAAACGATGAGAATACTATCTCATTAGTTGGTCCAAATTAAATTGATTATGTTTTTTATTAACATATATATAAAACCATTTTTAAATTTCTTATAATAATTCAAAATAAGAACAATATTTTTAATAATTCAAAATAAGAACAATAAAATCCCTTCAATAAGAGTGATAAATACTACTTCCGTCCTTACTATAAAAGCTTATTTGACTTTTATTTTGATTCTAAATATAATATTTCAATTTATTTTATCTCTCATATTTATCTTTTTTTTAAGATAGTCCTGTAATAATAGTAATTCTAGCCAATACACTTGATTAGTAAGGATATTCTAGAAAAAAAAACACCTATTCATCATATATAACAAACTTAACTAATGTTTTTAATATATTTAAATTTGTCAACTAACCCCTATATTAAATATAAAGGGCAGTATCACATTTTAACAAAATCAATCCATACGAACATCCATATGAATATGTGCCGAACGATTCTCAATATTTATTACAGATAATCAAGTTAATTAATTTTTTTTAATGTTTTAAACCGACTCTTTAGCTGCAATTTTATCATAGATATTGAAATAGTTTAATGCGCATCCAACACCCAAAATTTTTTTCTGATTTATTCAACATTCTAAAATATTTTGTAATTCATCTAACACAGTAAAATAATTTTTTAAGTACATATAATATTTTAAAGTATTTCTTAATTCATGTAATATCATAAAATATTTTTTTAGATGCATATAGTATCTAAAAATATTTTTTTGTGTATCTAAATAATAAAAATATTTCAAGATATTAAACATATTTTAAAAAAATACTTCAAAACATTACAAAATATATTGGGTGATAAATACATAGCAGCAAATAGTTAGTGTGCCGATGCACCTTGATCTGCTGAAATTAATATCCGAGTTGTAGTAATTATGATTATGATTTGTCATTATCTGGCCTCCCAGCGCAACGCCAACCGGCCTAGTTCCACTGCGCTGTCTTATCTGAACCGGAAAACACGTGACGTCAGCGATTTTATTGTTACTAAAAGCCGCGCGACGAAGGAGAGTGTCGCTTTTTTAGCGCTGAAACCGACGTACGTCTCTGCCACATTAATGCTCTCTCTCTCTCTCTCTCTCTCACACGTTCTGCAAATCTCTGCCACTCTAATCGCTGAAGCACTTCGCAATTTGCACCATAACGCCTTTCGTTTTCACGGCTCGATTTTCCTCTATTTTACGGGGCCTTACCTTGCACAGAATTATTGCACAGTAATTCGGACAGTAACTGTTCCTGGGGAAAGAAGAGGAAGGAGGGGAGGAGGAAGGAGGTGGAAACAAGTGCAATGGAAATGAAGCTTACGCTAGCAAATTCCCCTCACGACGTAAGCATACTCCGTTCATCTTCTTCGCTTCTTCTCATTTATTTATTATTATTAATTTTATTTATTTGTCTTGCATTCCAATTCCTATTCCTATTCCAATTCGCGTGCCCTTCTTTTTCGCTCACTGTCAGATCTCTTTTTCTCTTTCGTCTAGTCTGGTCTAATCCCACCCATCCCCTAGTTTCTCTCTCCATGGTCCATGCTTTTTTTCTCCCCAGCGCTCTCCCTGTCTCTTCTTCATAGCTGGGAATATTTCTCTCTCTAGGACTCATTTGAGGGGGTTTATCTTTTTTTTTTTTTTGAGATACATTGCATTTTTCCTCCTCTGTTTTTAAGAGGCCAGCTGCTCTCTGTTTCATCTAGCAGGAGATGCGTCGGAGACGAACCCAGTTGTTGCTAAGTTGTTAGAGAGTGAGTGTAAGGTTTTCGGACTAACTTTTTCTCTTCTGTTTTTGAGCATCTAAGGTTTGTTTCGACTTTTGGTTGCTGTAAAGAATGAAGATTCTTTGCCATTTAGGACCAGTATATGGGTGGTGCTTAAAATACAAAAGAAATGTCTCTTTTTCTCTTATCTTTTTTTTTTTTTTTTTCAATTTCATCCTTTCCGGAGGGTGGGTAGCAACCGGCAACATTTGTCTGCTTCTCCATTCCTTCAATCTAAAATCTTAGATTGTAGCCGAGATTTGTTTCCGGGATTTTTTCTTCGTATTGTTTTTAGTTAAACTTGAAAAGTTGGGGTCGTTTAAATTTGCTAGTGAAGTCAATGCTGTCGTTCTCTTGTCGGTGTATACCTGGCTAGTGCGTGCTGAAATATCTTTCTTAAGCCCTCTTAGATTGCTTTGGTTGTTTATAGTAGCATTGATTTTGGTTTGAGTCTTTAAAAATTTCCTCGGATTCCCTGAGTACGAAGCCCCTCACGATTTGAAGCCTTTCTTTTTTGCATCTCCGTGCCATTGATGCGGGATTACTTTGCTTGTTTTGAATGTAATGTTTTCCGAGTCTGAATCTCTTTGTTGTTTGATTTGAGCTGGTAGTGCTGATTCTTACTTGCGCCTGTTCGTTATCTGTCGATGAAATTTTATTACTAATCATCAAAGACGCTATATCGTACATGCTCATCACTCTTCGACTATCTTTGGGTTTTCATACTATTATTATTTGTACAATTTATTGTAGTTATCTTGAATATCTCGAGACCGTCCTTGACTCCTTGCTTTCCTGTTGAACTTCAGAGCTTTTATCGATATACTTGATTGTCCCGTATTGTTTATGTTATGGAAAGTTTGTATTTTTGCGGGTGGAGAAAAATTAAATTCAAATTCATCACCTATATTTATGGTGAAGTTGGAAGACTTCATTTTTTGGCAAAATTGTATGTAGACGTGCATAGCACGTTTACTCTTCGAATTATGATGTGTGATGCGCGACTTTTACATTTGTGCATGTTAATATCTTCTTTTGTTATGATGTTTGTCCGTGTCAAAGCAATCTTCTGCAGTGTAGTTTAGGGGGTTAACATATTTATGGTGAAAAGGAATCTTCCCTACACGTGCGCCCATAAGTTTTATAATGTGCTATTGCAGATTATTGATATGGCTTGATTTAGCACTTGATTTCCTGGTTAAAAAAAATCACTTAATTTGAATTTGAATTATCAATGCAGGAACGACAAAAGATTAAAAGAATATTCACCGTTTGATTTTGAAGAACATGTTGCCAAATTTTATTTCACTCCAAAAAATTGCAACAAGTTATGCTCTAATCCTATAAGAATTATATTATAACGACTTTGTCTTGGTTATTGTATGATTGCATGGCAATTTTTTTTTCTGTTCTATGCATTTTTTGAGTTTTTGCTCAGGCATTTGTATCGTTTTTTTTTTTTTTTTTTTTCAAAACACGGTAAAACTAATAAATATTTAGTATGAAAATTTTTTTGCTCCCCTTAATGCGTAATATTTATAATGAATAATCAATTCATTAGGTAACAATAGGTTGGGGAAACTGATTAGCTTTTCATTTCTTCGGACTTCCTATTTTCTAGTGGGAGACCAAAGATGTCTATTATTTTCCAAAATTACTCGATTATTAATGGTTACGCTTTTTGTCTACTTTGAAAGTATTGGGAGGGTAATGTTAGTATAATTTCTTTTCCAACAATTTAGAACCTTCCCTTTTTTTTAATAGAATTTGACTGTAGATTTTCGAATAAGAAAGACCCAGTATGCAAGGGCAAGTGAGTCTAAAAATCATGTATTTGAGTTCATTACAAGGTGTACATCTCACTCTTGAAAGGGATATCAATTTGTTATTGGGGTAAGAAATGCATATGATCTTAAACAAGTTTTTACAAATTTGCTCAAGGCAGATTGGCATATCATTTGCTGGATTTCCAATAATGACTGGTAGTTGGGCTGACGGAATGGAATTGCTTTGGGACATTGATTTCTTGTTTGTGTGTTCTTTCTTTTTTAATTGCGTGCATTTTCTCTTATTGTTTATTTTGCATACATGATTTGTATTTATTTGGTGCTTTATTGAATTATCATTGTGTAGGCTTTGTAGCCTGTTCGAAATTGAATCTTCTGATATATTTGGCCTTATAAATACTTGTATGTGAACACTTGATTTGTATTGCTGCGGTGCAATCCCAGTAGATTATTTAATGGGACAGGCAAGGATGTTATGTCTGTCTTCTTTCTTTTGGTTAGATTTTATCCTTGTAGCTTTAGATTCAGTATGTTGATTTTTTTGCCGGTTTAACTGTCATTTTCAATTGCATGATTAGGTTTTCGTTTGAATTAGGGGAAAATCTAGTACAATTATTGGTGCAGTTCTTGTTCCAAGCTTCTGCATCTAGACAATTTTTGTCATTTAGATATGTATTTTTGGAAATATAATCCTCATTAGATTTTGAATTTTTAGTCCTGTCAAACTATAGCTTCTGCAGAAATGGTATCTTTCCTTGTGCTATTTTGGGATATACTTACTTTGGTCCTTATTCTAAAAATTCATACATATCAGTAAAAACAGTTAAAAGCATTAAGTTTGTTATAAAATTCAAGTGATTCCCAATATTACTTTCATAAATTACTCTAAATTCTAACATTATATTAATTTTTATTCTGTCACTAACCTCATTAAATGTGGGCATATATAGAAAAACATATTTAGTATTCATTGAAACTATCAAACAGTCTTACAAGAAGGACCAAAAATTCTTACTAGAAGGGCTCCTACAATAGGGACAAAGGGGAGCATCATGTAGCAAAAAATTTGGTTGTGATTTGCTTAGTTGTTATGCTCGCGATACTTTTATTTTTTGCTGTATTTCTAGCATAGTTACGTCTTAAATTTATCATACATTTTGCAGATACATGATGAAGAGTTCAAGTTTAAAGAAATGGGCAGTGGGATTTGCACTTGGAAATGAAGGAGAGGCAACGTTGGAGAGCTGAGGAGGACGCATTATTACGTGCTTATGTCAAACAGTATGGTCCTAGGGAATGGAATCTTGTGTCCCAGCGCATGAACACGCCCCTTAACAGGGATGCCAAATCCTGCTTAGAAAGGTGGAAGAACTATCTCAAGCCTGGCATCAAGAAGGGATCTCTCACTGAAGAAGAACAACGACTTGTCATCCGACTCCAAGCAAAGCACGGCAACAAATGGAAGAAAATTGCTGCAGAAGTCCCAGGTCGCACTGCTAAGAGGTTAGGTAAGTGGTGGGAAGTATTTAAAGAGAAGCAGCAGAGGGAAAAGAAAGAAATCAATAAAACAGTTGACCCAATTGACGACACTAAATACGATCATATACTTGAGACTTTTGCTGAGAAGCTGGTGAAAGAACGCCCTTCTCCATCCTACCTTATGGCTGCTTCAAATGGAGCTTTTATTCACACTGATGCATCAGCTCCTGCGTCAGCTATGCTTCCTCCATGGCTTTCAAACCCAAATAACTCTACAACTATTAGGCCACCTTCCCCTTCTGTGACGCTAAGTCTCTCTTCCTCAGCTGTAGCTGCACCACCTCCTTTTCAATGGCTACAACCTGAGAGAGCGCCAGAGAATGCTTCTCTTGTTATGGGGAATGTAACACCTCACGGAACTAATCCGGCTTTTGGTGATAACCTGCTACTACCTGAGCTAATTGAGTGCTGTAAAGAGTTGGAAGAGGGGCATAGGGCATTGTCATCCCATCGGAAAGAAGCAGCATGGAGGTTAAGGCGGGTGGAGTTGCAGTTGGAGTCAGAGAAGGCATGTCGGAGGCGGGAGAAGATGGAAGAGATTGAGGTGAAGATTAAAGCTCTCCGGGAAGAAGAGAAGGCTGCTTTGGATAGAATTGAGGCTGAGTACCGGGAGCAGCTAGCTGGACTGAGAAGAGATGCAGAAACCAAGGAGCAGAAGTTGGCTGAGCAATGGGCTGCAAAGCACTCAAAGCTTAATAAGTTTCTGGAGCAGATGGGGTGCAGAACCAGGCTTGCTGAGCAAAATGGAAGATGAAGACTCCATCCTCTTGGAACATGAAATTTAAACTGTGTTTGCTTCTATGTTGTTTCGATTTTGTGTCTATTCTCGCAGAAATTGTACTACCGTTTGTCCTACTTATTTTACACGACTATGAGGTTATTGGTTAATACGACTATGAGGGTATTGGTTGATGTAGGAGGCATGGTTTTGCATCCGTCGTCGCGAATACAAACTTGGTCGTGACAACAAATTTGTATGAATAACTTGTCCTCCGGAAGAGTGTGATGGCATGTTGACTTGTCAGTTTCTGCTTTGGTGACTAATATCCAGACTTGATAGAAAAATGTTTTGTTGGAGCTAAGAAGATGGTTCCTAGAGGTTTGGATAATTGGGAGAAGCGAGGACGCTTTCTGACGCGTTGAAACCTCAAATAACTTGCATGTTGGAGTATAATGCTAATAGAGTATCATGCTCGCTTGTCGATTGGTTCAAGTGGATTGATATATTTGTTTGCGTTAAGCTTAGAACCATCCACTGCCATGCTTGTAAGTATTGAACAAAACATGGCTGGGAGAATTTCATGTGAGGACCCTGATGACAATTATATTTCGCCCAGACTGTGCGATCGTGAGATTGAACGAGCGTTAAAAGTGGCTTTACCAGCGTTGATCGGTGAGGCGGCTGACCGGATGGACTCTAGTTTCAAAGGATGAGCTCCATCGAATAAGAGAGCGAAGATCACATTCTCTATTTAAATGAGAGAGTGGTTGAGTAAAAATCAAATTAAAAGTAATTTTATGTTTGTATTAATGCGTTTGGGCGTATCCCAAACACTTCCTGAGCCTCGACACGATTATGATAGCCCGTCCGTCGTTGAAGAGCAGGTTCGTGGCGTTCTCTGTTCATTTTGTGTGCTCCAAAACCAATCTGCCCTGTGCGAACGAGGTCTTGAGTTTCTTTCCGGGACAAGACAAAACCCATTACCTCCTGAAGACATTTAGCACAGCATAGAGGCCTCCGGTTTCTTTTTATTGCTGGGGATTATGTATTACCTTGTGACAGAAAAAGCATTACTCTGGATGTACAGAAGATTAGTTATAATGTGTCTCCAATGCAGGGGCTTTGCAAGCCAGAAAATTACTTTCGAGATCTCTTGAGAATTTTGTTAATCGAAAAGAAGAAAGTAATACAGAGAGTCAAGATATTAAGGGCTGGGGGGAATATGTTGGGAAACTTGAACAGGGAAGGGAGGAAGGAGAAAGGAGACGAGAAAGGTAAGGTATCATCGTGGGGTGGTGGGATTTAATTGTTTATACAAGCAAATAATGCAAGTAGCAGCAGAAGGCCGGGGAGGAAATTCTCTGCTGTTCTTCTGTTTTCAAAACTTGATAGAATTATAAGCAATTGAGGATTAGTTTTTCCTATTTCTTGTTACTCCCTTAAGCTTCTAAAATAAGTAATATTACTAATGGGATGGGATGTCACATTGTTACATCTTTTATTAAGTTTTTTTTTTTAATAGAAACTACGGTTCAGAGCTTCAAAAGAAGCATAAGCAGTACATCACGTTAAAATAACTTCCCTAATCAATCTCCTTTTCTCAATAAAGATCTGAAGGCTGATCAAGAACATCCATAATGTAGAAGGTTTCAGCTAAATAATTAGCAAAATTTTAAGTTTTACTATATGTATGACTGACATTAACATGTCAATCTCTAGGGGTTTTTAATTGTGTCCCGTCTCAACGTTCCGTCCCCTTCCTGCCTCAGTCATTTTAGAACCGGATAGTCTTACCCTGAAAGTTTTCTTGTCTCAAGTCCCATCTTAATATATTATCTTTTTTTTAATTATTATAAATTTATTTTATTTATCATTGTAATAGTATTTTGATAATGATATTTATCAATTGTTATTTTTTTTCATTTGTTCATGAGTTATTTTGTATGCTTACGTGATATTATTTGTTGTGAGCATTTTAAGTTTGTTTATTTTTTGTTTCTCAATATTACAAAAAAAACCATTTTTCTTTACCATTATTTTCTTATTTTTATCTGTTTTCTTTGTATAGTTTTTGCTATAAATTCTTATACTTCATGTATAGTTAGTTTTTAAATTAAAAAAGTTAAAAAAAAGAATAAGATGGGGATGGGACACAAGACAGAAAAACTGTCTCATCCTGATTATCAGGACAAGATTGAGATGGGGTTGTCCTGATCCCATTCTGTTCCATCAACTCGCTATTAATGTCCATATAAAAATAACCTAACATTAGCAACACACCAATTCTTATCTTTGGTAATTTATTTTAAAGAGTAAAAGAAATAACCTCTTTTTTTGTACTGAAGGAAAAATTGTGAATTATCTTTTGAATAATAAAAGACTAATTGAAGTATTAAAAAATACATTTGTCATGGACAAAAACCAAAAGAACATTCAATTAAAATATATAATTGTCATATATAAGTAGAGATATATTTTCTCTCTTTTTTCGCCATCAAGAGATATATCTTCTTTGGCCAAAACAAAAAGGTAGTAATATGTTTTTTATCCCAACTCAAATAATTTCTAGAAGTATTCTTATACATTAAATTAATTTTTTTTGGTCCAGTTAGAATTTAAAACTGAAATAACTCGGTATTTTAAAGTTTTAGTAATTTATTTCAAATAAATAAAAAATTGATTTTTTTTACCAGGATAAAAAATTGATTGTCGTAAATAAAGATAATAACTGTACATATTAACTTTTTTTTTTTTTGTGGCCCTATCAACCTGGGCAACCAAACCATGTTTTTCTTTGGATTATAAAATGAGCCGCCACATTTCTCTCCTAACTCCTTTTTATTTTTGTACCCAAAAAACTCTTTTTACTCCTCTTTTCTCTTCCCATATTTCTAATGAATAGCTTGACCATGTGAAATAAGAATAAAAATTAAGAAATTGAATAGAGAAGAGAAAAAATTAGAAAAGAATAGAAAAAGAGAGGAGAAAGTTGAAAGAGAATAAATCTGTAACATCAATTGTATAATGCTATCCTAATAATGTTTTACTACCTCCGGTCCTAATTATAAGAGCCAGTTAACTAATTTGAGGAGATTAAGAAAATAAGTTGAGCTAGTTATTTGTCCTAAATAGGTGTTGTCTTTCCTAAAATATCCTTATTAATCAAGTGTATTGACTAAAACTATAATTATTAGAAGGATTATCTTGAAAAAAATTGAGTAAATATGATAGACAAAATGGATTGGATCTTTTATTTAAACCAAAATAAAAATCAAACAGGGTCTTATATTAAGGACCGGAGGTAATATAACCTAAACCAAAAAAATAAATAAAATAATACTAATAAAAGATCTGAAATGAGGAGTAGGGGAGTGGGATAACTGCTTATTAAGTCACTAACTATAAAAATAAATAAATAATTAAAATAAACTAAATAATGAAAATAAAAATAAAAATAGCAGAAAATTCAAAATTCAAAATATTTAAATATTTGCAGCACTTTAATTTTTTAAATGATAAAAGATCAGTATTATAACTTTCTCCCATAAAACACAGACTTTTTTTTTTTTGGCCGGACACAAAACACAGGCCTATGGTGTAGCGTATATGCTCTACTTATGTGCAAAATAGATTATTCCAGGAGCAGAGGGGGCTGAAAGCCTAGAAGAGCGACGAAGAAGCACTCCGTGAAGCAATTGATTTGTGGATGCATGAAAGTCAAAGAAGTTTTCAGATAATTGCGATACGAAAATCTAATTAGGGTTCAGAATCACTGGCGGTGTTAGTGATTTCTTGTCGGAATTGAATCTTTTATCGCCTACTGAGGAAGCAAACCTGGGGAGTGAAAGCTCTGGGTTTGGTCGCTGTTTGTGTTGCGTGGATTGGCTGTTGCGGTTCTGCCGCCCCATCATGGTGGATAACATGGAAATCGACTCACCTTCGGAGTCCCAGCCTCTCAAGCCTCGAGATCGAATCATTCGGGTAACACCCATTTGTGCTCGTCTCCTTGATGGTCTCTAGCAGTAGACTTATTTGTTTTCTTTTAAACCCTTCGTAGTTTGAATTATCGTTCGTGAATGTAGCCCATAATTTTATGATTGGTTTTATATATTATTATTTGAAGTAATTTGTTAATATCGATTCTTTATGGTTTGCATATCAATGTCTTTTATTGCCACCTACAGAGGCTTCTTCAATTTGGAGTTCCCGAGGATCAACTGGATCAGCCTCTCCTCGTTGATTTTATGAAGGATAAAAAGTCATTGATACCTGAACTAGTATCTGTTATATTACCTCCGGACGAGGAAGTGGCTGAAGCGCTGCAAGATTCTAAGTTTGGCTCTAAAAAGTCCTCATTGGGTGTAACCATGAAGAAAAGGTTCCATGAAAGCATGGACTGGTTACAGTGGTTGATGTTTGAGGGTGACCCCGCTGCAGCTCTGAGGAACCTTTCCAAGCTGTCCGTTGGGCAACGTGGTGTTTGCGGGGCTGTTTGGGGACATAATGACATAGCATACAGGTGCAGAACATGTGAACACGATCCAACATGCGCAATCTGTGTACCTTGTTTTGAGAATGGGAATCACGAAGGCCATGATTACTTTGTGATATACACAGGCGGCGGTTGTTGTGATTGTGGAGATGTGACAGCATGGAAGCGTGAGGGATTCTGCTCAAAGCATAAGGGTGCGGAGCAGATACAACCACTTCCAGAGGAGTTTGCGAACTCTGTGGAACCTGTGCTTAATTCTCTTTTCAGCTGTTGGAAAGACAAGCTAACATTTGCAGAAACTGTCTGTCAGGAAAACTCTAGATCAAGCAACGCTGTTGTTGAAAGAAAGAAGGCAGCTAATGAGCTAACATTTGCAATGGTTGATACGCTTTTAGAATTTTGCAAGCATAGTGAGAGTTTGCTTGGTTTTGTTGCTAGGATGTTATTCTCTTCAGCAGGCTTACTTGCCATTCTGTTGAGAGCTGAGAGGTTTTTAACTGATGTTGTTGTAAGAAAACTTCACGAGTTACTCCTGAAATTGCTGGGGGAACCTGTTTTCAAGTATGAGTTTGCTAAAGTTTTCCTCACTTACTATCCGACTGTTATAAGTGAGGCTATAAAAGAGTGCAGCGACTTCCCTCTGAAGAGGTATCCATTACTATCTACGTTCTCTGTGCAGATACTTACAGTGCCCACACTTACGCCTCGTCTAGTGAAGGAAATGAACCTACTTACAATGCTTCTGGGATGTTTGGAAGACATTTTCTTGTCTTGTGCTGGAGAAGATGGCCGATTACAGGTGATGAGCTAGTGGTTGTTATTAATGGCCGAGTCTGTTATTTTTAAATTGAATTGCCCGGTGCATGTTGTGATCTCAAAGTTGGTGAATCTTATGACTAAGATTTGTTGCTGTGGTACAATCATGTTTCCAAGTCCTTTTTTTTTTTCCCAGTGAAATTATGTTTACTTAAAGAGACAGATTTTCATTGCAGGTTGCAAGGTGGGGAAATTTGTATGAGACAACTATACGGGTTGTTGAAGATATTCGATTTGTTATGAGCCATGTGGTGGTTCCCAAATATGTCACCTATGATCAACAAGATATCTCGAGAACTTGGATGAGACTCCTGTCCTTTGTACAAGGGATGAACCCTCAAAAAAGAGAAACTGGTCAACATATAGAAGAAGAAAATGAGAATGTCCATTTACCTTTTGTTTTAGGCCACTCTATTGCTAATATTCATTCTCTTTTGGTGGATGGGGCTTTTTCAGATGCTAGTAAGGGAGAGTTGGACAATGAAATTATTTGGAGCTCAAATAAACAGGAATCTGATGATGGAGATAATTTACGACACTCAAAAGTGGGGCGGCTTTCCCAGGATAGCTCTGCATGTGGTATGACTGGTCGGAATAATGCCTTTGCTTGTTCTTCTAAGGCTTCTGAGATAAAATCTAATGCCTCTTCTCATCTGCAACTTCCCCGTTCTGTCACATGGTTGATATGTGAGTGTTTAGGGGCCACTGAGAATTGGTTGGAAATTGAAAATAAGACTTGGTTACATATGTCGTCTCCAAACAGTGGTAGCATCTATGACAGCAATCTTTCAGCATTAAAGAGAACAATATCCAATATTAGAAAGGGTAAGATTTTTCGTAGGCTTGCAAGCTCAGGTGAAGATCATGGTAAGCAATGCGCTGATTACTTAGCGTCTGACCTGGAAAACAGTGAACATGCAATGAAGGATAGTAAACTGAAAATGAATGGTGAGTCCGAGTCAGATAATATTGATATTTCATCTGGTTTCCATGATAGCGCAATGGAAACAGATGTTCCTGCAGAGTTGGGTGGCCTTCGTTTTTTGTCTTTGTCTGATTGGCCACAAATTTTCTACGATGTTAGTTCACAAGATATTTCTGTGCACATTCCGTTACATCGGCTACTTTCCATGCTGCTACAAAGGTCACTGAGAAGATATTTTGGTGAATCTACAATTCCAGATGTGTCTGATGCTTGTTCTACTCATTCATCTTCAACAATCTACACTGACTTCTTTGGACATGCTTTACGGAGCTGTCATCCCTACGGGTTTTCTTCCTATATAATGGAACATCCCTTGCGCATTAGGGTTTTCTGTGCTGAAGTTCATGCTGGAATGTGGAGGAAGAATGGAGATGCTGCTCTTTTATCTTGTGAATGGTATCGGTCTGTTCGCTGGTTAGTATACTGTTCTATATGGCTATTAATTTTATCCAAGGATTTTTAGTCGTTACAGTGTTATGTTAATCCTCTTTATTCCCTCGGCTAGTTTGTCCTGGTCTTTACTACGGTTCATTACCTCTGCAGGTCTGAACAAGGGCTGGAGCTTGATCTATTTCTTCTTCAGTGTTGTGCTGCACTAGCTCCGCCAGATCTGTATGTCAGCAGAATTTTGGAGCGCTTTGGACTTTCAAACTACCTATCCTTGAATCTTGAATGTTCAAGCGAGTATGTTCTCGTTTCTTATGATGTCTTTTTTATTGCCACGTCTTCTGTAGATTTCCCTCTAATGGGTCAGCAATTTACTGATGAACTTTTAGGTTTTTGCTTTTGCTTTATGTCCCCTCAATATTAAACTCTATCTAACTTGCCCGATTTGGTAGTGGTCCATTGAAGGTGGTAAGAAAAAACTAATGTTGAGCAGTTAGAACATGGTTTTGTAAAAATGTGCTTAAAGTAACTGTGAACTTTACTCTGTTTAACAACAGTATTTAGTAATATTTTTATAAAACAGCATGAGTATTTAAAATTATAGAGGCAGGTGTTGCAAGTGTAAATGAATAATAGTTCTGAATTAGGAAAGGGTTATAGTTAGAACTTAAGTAAGCTGAAGGTTTCTTAGGTATCTCGTATTTTTGACAGCTGTAGCAGTTTCTATAGTTTCTCACAAGGTGATTTTCAATAGCACATGTGACCAGTAAAATGCACCGGAAGAAGTGGCTTAAAAAGATTTTATCAATCACGTTTATGTTTGTCTGGTAAAATTTGGCTGGACCGAAAGCCACGGTGTTCCCAAATGGGGTCTTAAGTTCATCTAGTATAATTCATCCTTTGCAAACAGATGATTGAAATTAGTCTCTCATCATTCTTCCCACCTTGTCAAATACTTAGTGCTGCTCACTGTTAAGTGGAAAATGCTGTCGCCTTGTTTGTTCACGATGATGGAATGGGAATCCTTTTCCATGCTCTTTGGCAATATCTGTTATGTCCCTCGTAATCATTATTCAATTGTATCTATCTGTCTTTTTAATAACTTTTTTAAAGTAGGTCATTTAGAGTCATTGTTCCTCCTCAAAGTCACCTTTTTGATTCAATTTTGTACTTCATTCCTTCCATTCTATGTGCTAACTGGTCCCTTAGATGATTAGTTAAATATTCCAAACAAGGAAAGGGAACTAAAAGGAAAAGTTTCCTTTATCATTCTTCTGGGTTACATTTTGATTCTCTTTAATTCCTTCGTATCACATCAAAACTTCCTGAAGCTGCTTAATGTTTAGATAAGTAATGTTAGAATAATAATTAGGATATTTTTCAGTCCACGTACAGAAGTTATGCTTGCATATTGTATAATACTATTATCTCCACTGGCTGCTCCCACATTTCTGTGGAAATTAAGATATTTTTTGGAAAAAAGTTGGACTCGTTATACATAGGAGACAGTTAATAGTTTAATGTCAAATTTACCTGGAATTAAGGAAAGCAACAGCAATTGAAGTTTTACTGAGTAGAGAAGCATAACACTACAAGTGTGTTTCCGAAGCATCTGATGATTACTTCCATCCGCTCCTCGTTTGATTATGATAATATAATTGTATGGTTATGTACTGATAAAATATATCCATAAAAGTTTTACCTGGCAAAATTTGCGGGGGCTTCTGGGCCTTTGGGATTTATATCCTCTTTTTGCCCAGAGTTCTTCTAGCCCTGTCTGGATGACTTTCAGTTATATAGGAATTTTAATGGAATATCATTTGCAATTTTTATTCATTAACTAACTGACGATGCCTTGTGGTTCTCCCATTTATGACAACACAATCAATATTAAATGAAAATGAGTCTCATCAAATCCACTTTGTTTGGTCGGTATGATATTAGAAATATAGTTTTCCATGAGAATTTGTACTTCTGTTTGGTCAGCATTATACTCATTTAACTCCTTTAGTGTTGCTTTGTAATATCTACAATGTAAATTGTCCATAATGAATTGATATTTATTTTACAGGTATGAACCAGTTTTGGTCCAGGAAATGCTCACTCTTTTGATTCAGATATTGAAAGAAAGGCGCTTTTGTGGGCTAAGCACTTCTGAAAGCTTGAGAAGAGAACTAATTTATAAGTTAGCCATTGGAGATGCCACTCACAGTCAGTTGGTGAAGTCTCTTCCTCGTGATCTCTCCAAGTTTGAGCAGCTTCAAGAGATTTTGGATACAGTTGCTGTATATTCTAATCCATCTGGTTTTAATCAGGTTTTGTTGATATTTCTTCTTCTTCCCAGAGAGAGAGAGAGAGAGAGAGAGAGAGAAAGTGCTTCTTTTATTTACCCTGTGTTTGCCTTTGACTTTTTCTTTCCTTTTAGGGCATGTATTCCCTGCGATGGCCATTGTGGGAAGAATTGGATTTGTATCATCCTCGTTGGAATTCGAAGGATTTACAAGTTGCGGAAGAAAGATATTTACGCTTCCGTAGCATCTCTGCACTAACCACACAGCTTCCCCGTTGGACAAAAATTTATCCTCCTCTGGAAGGGATTTCGAAGATAGCTACTTGTAAAGTGGTTCTACAGATAATCCGTGCAGTTCTATATTATGCCGTTTTTACTTTCAAATCAGCTGAATCTCGTGCTCCTGATGCTGTTCTTCTAACTGCACTGCATTTACTGTCACTATCCTTAGATATCTGTCTTCAGCAGAAAGAATTTACTGACAAGACATCTGATGATGAGACACAAATTCCCATAATAGCTTTGTCTGGAGAAATTATTGATGAAAGCTCTGTTTATGGTGTTGGTGAACAGAGCTTGTTGTCACTTCTTGTTAGTTTGATGGGTTTGCACAGGAAGGAAGGTGTAGACAACTTTGTAGAAGCAGGTGGTGGCAACCTGTCTGCTTTAATTGAAGACTTGCTGAAGAAATTTGCCGAGATTGACAAAAGATGCATGACTAAACTGCAGCAACTTGCCCCTGAAGTTGTTAGTCATGTATCTCAATGCCTTCCAATTAGAGACTCAAGTGACACCGTTTCAGCTTCCGATAGTGAGAAACGCAAGGCAAAAGCCCGGGAGAGGCAGGCTGCTATGTTGGTAGGATGCTGTTGCATTATTCTTTTATGGTCAAGAATATTAAAAAGTAATGATGTGTTGCTTGATGCGCCTTAATACAATCTTGGTTGGGTAGCATTCAGGGTGGACGAAAGCATTCATTTTGATATACTTTTATGTTAAGCTGACCTGGACATGTTCAATTATGCCAATTTAATCGCCTCTACCTTTTGAATGAGATCTTGGTTTATTGGTTTGCAATTCAGGAGAAGATGCGGGCTCAACAATCAAAATTTTTGGCAAGTGTTGATTCCACTGTTGATGATACTTCCCAAGTTGATCATGAAGGTGACTTTGATACTGGACCTGATGCTGAAGAATCCACCGAAGTTGTTTGTTCTCTTTGCCATGATTACAATTCGAAGCTTCCCATATCTTTTCTGATTCTTCTACAGGTATGACTTCTGCGAACCAGATCAAATATTTGTTCTGGCTCGTTGAACTCTATTATGCATAGACACTTCCAAAGAGATGTGACACTGCACTGATGCAATCACAGCAACGTGACAAAATCTTAGGTGTCCATATTTGGTTTAAAATTTTGTGCAATGTTCTGTTGTGTCTTGTATTAGTCGACAACATGCATCAGACATGCATATCACTCCTTAGGAGCTTCTTTATTTCATAGGTTGAACTGCACATTTTTGGAATTCATTTTTCCCTGATTTGTTTCTTCTTACCTAATTTATACTTTCATATTGGTTATATGTACAAGAAATCTAGGCTTGTCAGTTTTGTTGATAGAGGCCCCCCTTCATGGTCACAACTTCGTCGGGCAGATAAAGAACATATGCCTGTTTCCACCTCTAAGGCGACAGATACATTGGCAATGGACTGGACTCCAGGCACTTCAGGGTCAACTTCATCTTCTCACTTAGCCCAGTTGGTTTTGAATGCTGCCAATGAATTGGTCTCCAGTGGGCGGCATGGTGAAGTCAATGCCTTTTTGCAGCATGTAAAGGATCATTTTCCAACTTTGGGAAATATCCAGCTTCCTGATACATCTTATGATGAAAAAGAGAAGATTCCATGTACTTTTGAGACATTGGAACAGGATATGTACTTCTCCATTTGTGGTGAATTGAATGATGATGATAAAATTTCTACTTCAGGGGGGGGCCTGAACATTGGTAGAGATGCTGGAGCTGTCTTGCTTGGAAAATATATAGCTGATATTGCAGGAGACGTGTCAAAAAACTCTTCAGCATCTGAAAATGTTCATAGTGAGAATGCTTCTGCGGAATCTACTTTGCAGCACATGGCAAACAATTCATTTGGCCCAACAGATTGTGATGGGCTTCATCTTTCTTCCTGTGGCCATGCGGTACATCAGCAATGCCTTGACCGTTATTTATCTTCACTGAAGGAAAGGTGAGTTCCATCAAATTTTCTGTATTAGCTGCCATCTTTTAATGTTGTTTCCTTGCAGTCTTTTGTGCTTTAATATGTGGCATAATGTTGAAAATTTTAAAATTGGATTATGCTTTTGAATTCATTACCTTTGACATGGACTGAGCCTTGTGCTTTATTTATTTAGATTTTAATAAAAACTTAAAAGTTATCTCAAAACTCTTATTGACATTGATTTCATGCATGAATTTTAAAGCTGGATTGTATCAAAGGAGATCTTATCAGGATGAGTTACTATTGATGTTGTGAACATAAATGGCAAACTGTTGGGCTCAACTTAGCAGTTCATTATGATGCCAGTGATTCTGGCTAAACTTTCTGCCCTCAATTTATGTGTGGTTTCGATCATGGATTGTGCGATCCCAGGATAGTATGATTTTTATGTAGAAATGACTAAAATGTAATAAATTGGTCAATTTAAAAGCTGCTTCTGTGGATCTTTTCTTTTTCAAGCAATTTTTGTCTTAATGTTATTCAAAGCCTTTGACCTATGTTTACATTGCTTGGACAGGTCTGTGAGAAGAATTGTTTTTGAAGGAGGACATATTGTTGACCCAGACCAGGCATGCATCTTTGTTTTGGTCAATAATCGTTATTTTATTGGTTCTATTGGAAACATACCAGATTTCAAAACACTTGAAATTTTTTTTTTTTTCAGGGTGAATTTCTCTGCCCTGTATGCCGCAGGCTTGTAAACTGTGTCTTGCCTAGTATACCTGGAAACTTAGAGAAGCCTTTGAAGCAGCCTACAGGTTTAATTAAGGGCTCACTACCTGCTACAGATCCTGTGGCTGCATCAACTAAAGAGATTTATCCACTCCGCCTTCGGCAAGCCTTGAAGATCTTGCAATCTGCTGCTACTGCTGTTGGGAAGGACAAATTCCAGAAAGCTGTTCCTTTGCGACAGAGTGATAAGGCAGGCCAAAATCTTGAGCATTTCTCTTGGATGTTGGCTAAAATGTATGTGCCAAACAAGCAAGATAAATCATCAAAATCTGCAAGACTAAATCATTCAATGCTCATGTGGGACACTCTTAAGTACTCCTTGATGTCAATGGAGATTGCTGCACGATGTGGAAGGACTTCCTTAACTCCAAACTATGCTCTTAGTACCATGTATGAAGAACTTAGGTCTTCGAGTGGATTTATATTATCCTTGCTGTTGAAACTGGCTCATAAGTCAAGGAGTAAGAGTTCTCTTCATGTGCTTCAAAGATTTAGAGGTCTTCAACTCTTTGCAGAATCTATTTGTTCTGGGGTGTCTCAGAGAGGTAACCTTCTGGTAACATTGCTTTCAAATGTGAATATTATCTGTTCCATTTGGACGCGTAAATTCTTGTATGTTGATCCAACTTCAGCTCAGTCAATTTTTATAACAGATTGAGTATTTAAAATATGAAGTTGCAAAGAAAAGCTGGTGGGACTGACTTGTATGTTTTGCGCTTTTAATTTGATAGGAATTTGGTCGGTTGGAAACTGTATTTTAATAATCCTTTCTTCCATTGTGTTAAAATGAACTAGTTTTAGGCCTAATTCCCTGCCAAAAGATTTACATATTTTGTTTTCGTCATGAGAACATAGATATTGATAATTTGTTAATTGGATCGTTGGCCAAAAAATAAATGTTAACTGGATCACTATTTATTTATATTTCCTGCATGCCCAAGATCTGTCCGTTTTTCCTTTCTTTACTGTTGGGTGCTCAATTTGTTTTTTTGGGGGGTCTGCTACTGATTTGTCTGTTCCATGACTGCTGTGTGTTCACAGATGATATGTTATCTATCCTAAAACATATTGAAGGGGACCTATCTAGTTCCGACACTCTGTTTTGGAGGCAAGCTTCTGATCCTGTACTTGCACATGACCCCTTTTCAACCTTGATGTGGATTCTCTTTTGTCTTCCATCCCCCTTTTTGTCATGTGAAGAATCTTTGCTATCCATTGTGCATGCTTTCTACATGGTAGCTGTAACGCAGGTTGGTCATCTTGCTTCAGTTATTCATGTTATGCATTTTCTGTTATTCTGCTGATTTTGTAATGCGGGTTCATCTGGATGCAGGCTATTATTTTGTATTGTGTCAGAACCCAGCATAAATTAAGTGAATTAGGTGTTGCCGATTGCCTGATCACTGACATATACAAGGTTATGGGTGAATCTGGATGTGCTCAGCAGTATTTCGTGTCAAACTATTTTAACCCACTTGCTGGTGTTAAAGATGTAATTAGGAGGTTCACTTTCCCCTATTTGCGTAGATGTGCACTGTTGTGGAAAGTACTATATTCTTCTATTCCAGCACCATTTTGTGATGAGGACAATGTATTAGATAGATCGTGGAGTTATGCAAATGACACAATGGTTGGATCTAATCTTGACATGTTTGAGATTGCTAAAATACAAGAGCTTGAGAACATGTTCAAGATTCCTGCCCTTGATGTGGTTCTGAAGGATGAATTTTCAAGATCCTCGGTCTCTATTTGGTGTCATCAATTTTGCAAGGAATTTGAACTAGCTGGGGTTCAACGTAACATGTATTTGACCCCTGCCATTCCCTTTGAATTGATGAGATTGCCAAACGTTTATCAGGATCTTCTGCAGAGGTAGTTTTGATTAATTATATTTTCCATGTCTTACAAGAGCTATATTCTGTTAAATTCAAAATTTTAACTGACATCCATACTTCTGCAGGTGCATCAAACAGCGCTGCCCTGAATGCAAATCTCTTCTTGATGAACCTGCGTTGTGCCTGCTGTGTGGTAGATTGTGCTCCCCAAGTTGGAAATCTTGCTGCAGGTTTATTTTCACGAAGTTCATCTTTTTTCGTTTATTAATTCTATGCTTTGAAATGCGTGTGAGCATTTAAGGTTTCATAATAACCCTTTGATCTTATCTTCATAGTGTATTTTAGATTCAATTTCATTTTAGTATCATGCTGTCACAGAATTTTAGGCAGCCTGTTGTTAATTAAACTCTGGAACACCCCCCCACAACCCATCCCCTTCGTTATCCCCCCATTCAAACAGATCGTTAATGAAAAGGACGGGATAGAGTAGTCCTTTCTCCTGTAACAACTATATCTAAACATTATTAATGGTTAAGGAATTCTGTTCTGTGGTTGATGGACTTTGAGAACTCAGTCATCAATCATCATGCATTTTGGTGGTATTGCCTATGACAAAATGCTTGCTGTTGATATTTATATTATGTTTGATGGTGGATTAAAACGAAATGTGTTGTTATTATTTTTTTTTTTAATAACTATAGTTCAAAGGAAAGTTTGATTAGTCTTCTTGCGGGTGTTTTTAGGGCTCATTCAGCTTGCAAAATAGATTGGAAAGGAAAGAGAAATAGAAGGGGAAGAGTGAATTTGGGGGTGAAAAATTGTTTCTATTAAGTAGTGCTAACGAGTATAATATTTATTGCGTATCTTAATTTCTGTACAAAAGAAAAGGAATACTTTTCATCATGGTACCAAAAGGCCATTAGCTGAGAATCTGACCGTTCTGGTTTTATTATGTTTCAAGGGAAAGTGGTTGCCAAACACATGCTATATCCTGTGGAGCGGGTACTGGAGTCTTTCTGTTGATTAGGGTATGCAGCTTCTTTCTCAACTTTATCTCTCGGACCAACTATAGGTGGTCGTGCTCTTTTTGATCTTTTGCTATTTGGGACATTGTAATGAGTTGACGTTATGTACAGAGGACAACAATCCTACTACAAAGATCTGCACGTCAAGCTCCCTGGCCCTCTCCTTACTTGGATGCTTTTGGAGAGGAGGTAATTGGTCCTTTGGCATTTTTTAATTGACGTGAACAAGATTATTTCTTTTTTCCTTTTTGTTTTCTATCATTAATTAGCTCTATATACCATTAAGTTTGCCAGGGTTCTTAAAATTTGTTTCAACAAGCATTGCCTACCATGTGTAATGTGTAATTGGACTTCCGAATGACTATGTAGTGTTAAACATGTTTCTTAATTCTTTCTTCTTTTTTGGGGGATGCGGTTATCTCGCACACTATGGCTTTGTTGGGTTCAGTATTTTGTAATATTTTCTGTACACTATCTAGTGTTGTTTAGTTACTAGAAGGAGAAGATTCCAAATAAGGATGTTGATGACTGGCTGCATAATGGAATGTTTTTTTTTTTTTCAAGGTGTAACATATAGAGTAGTGGAGATCAGAAACTAAGGAAAATTTGGATGCCATATCTGCTGTGTTCTGTTAGTACAAGGACAATTATACTATGGTGGGACAATTGCAATATGTGTCAAATTTGAAGTTTGCTTTAGGCCAGAAATCTTGTTCTGGAGCTAGAGCTTCAACTGAGAAATTACCCTTCACCGGATGAGGATGCTATTTTTAATTTGAATTTAGTACCTTAATAATGCATTTCACACTCAACTACTTAATTGACCTTGCGTATTGGATCTACCTGGTCATTTGGTCATTTTCTTAATGCTGACTTGAACTCTGCTAGATTTTTTATGTGTCTGTTAACGTTGGGTTGGCTTCTTAAGAACCAGAAAAGTGGAAAAACTCATTCTGCTTGGGTTATCCATATTTATTTGGTTAGTTGCCTCTAGAGATGAATGAAACCTGAACGAAGTCTTTCTGAAAATAAATAAGGCCATGTTGCCTTTCTACAATGCACTTTTAAGCATTCAAGATGATACTAAGATTTGAAGCCAAAATGTATCTCATCCCAATTTGTTTTAACTGCATTATTCTATTTTTCTTAGCAGGATTTTGAAATGCATCGAGGCAAGCCTCTTTACCTGAATGAGGAACGTTATGCTGCTTTGGCCTACATGGTGACTAGATTTCCCCATGCCACGGCCTCACTGCCTCCTTCTCTCTCTCTGTTTTTTTTTGGGCAGTGCCTCCCTGCCTTCCTTAATTAATATCTAAAATAATTGTTTATTTTTTGTTAGGTTGCCTCTCATGGCCTGGACCGAAGTTCAAAGGTTCTTGGCCAGACTACCACTGGATCTTTCTTCTTGGTTTAATTCTGACTCTATTTGAGCTCTAATTTTAAGGTCAGACTTTAGAGTCATCACACTTTCCCCGTGTGTGTGTGTGTGTGTGTACATTTACTTTCTTGTTTGGTGAGCCATGGCTTACATTGTCTATTGATGACCTTAGGAAAGCAGGAATTGTGGCTGGCAGATCTCTTGGAAGGTGAAAGTGGCTCTAGAAAATGCTAGTATATGATGTTATTCTCACCTCGATAGGAGAAAGAATACAAACATCTTCCGTGCTGTCATTTGATAGAACTGTACAGATCATTCAGGTGAGCATGCCTGTATTTGATTTACGCAGTTCCAATATCTTCGCTATATTGAGAACTTCTATTATGTCTTCATGGGCGTTAATTTGGCTTATACCTCTATTAAGGAAAGAAAGGAAGCATTGTAAAGGAGAACGTGTCAGAATTGATGTTAAATAGGCCCATAATTACCAGACTTGTGCTACATCCTCACCTCCCATTTACCTAGTAAATCTAAATTGCTGTGGTCTAGTAGTAATTTTTTTCTAGTTAATTTTATCAATATAAATTTATCGCATGAGTTTTTTTTTTTTTGGGGGATATGGGAATCTCATTGAAATTTGTGAAGGGAGTTACCCTATGCAAGGGATAACGGAAATGCTGGTCCAGCTTAAAGCATTGTCAGTCTACCTGATATGCCCCCTGCCCTGATCCTGATCCTGATCCTGATCCAAATCCAATATCTTATAATGTGTCAAATAATTGCTTTCGTCATGGTTGTTAATGTTAGAGTTTATAATAAACGATGAGCGGCCTTCACTTTAGAGCTTAAGCTTTTGAGTTAATTTGGTGACGTGTGAAATACTAAAGTTGGAGATATTGGCTTGCTCAGTCAGCCTGTTGGGTCCTTATCTATAATGCTAAGAGAAGTCGGAATCTTGCTAGTGCTAAAAGAACGTAAATTCATCCCTAAAAGCCGTATAGCTTAACGTAGCATATCTTAATGATAAAGTGGTCAGTTCAGTCCTTTCTGTCCCTCATTGTGCAAACTCCCTGTCCTTCACCCTCTCGCTTGCTATGTTAAAATCTCGGAGGGCTATTGCATTGGTGTGTTAGAGATTATGAATTATAATAAATTTTTATAACTGAAAATTTCATGTGTAAAAAAGCTTTGATCTTGAATTGAATTGGTTTTCAACAATAATGTTCAAATGTTTTTCGTACGGATTTGTGTTGTGCTGATGTCAGATACATGAGATTATGAGTGTCTTTTTTCTTTTTTTTTTTTTTTTTTTTTTTTGAGTGGACATTATGGGGATCTTTTAAAGATATGTTGTTTGTATCAGCGGCATATGGAGTTGTATATTTATCCTCCATACTATGTTATCAAATTTAACAGTCAGCCCGAAACTGAAATTTTTTTTCCGTTTATGTTCAATTCTTTGAGAACATTTAAAGCCAGTCTCTTTTAGGTTTGTTTTTTATGGGGCTTCTGGCCACATTGACTGAAATGTGTGAACATATCCTTGTAATTGCTTCTATTTATTGGTCACTCGAGGAACAGGGTTGTGTATTTCTATATGCTTGTAGATTACAAAGTTCCTCTCTTACCATTTGCAGATTGACACAGTTTCTGCTTGAAGGTTTGAAAGCCTGGCTCCTGTGGTATACTCTAGCCTCTGGATGCGACTGTACAGGTTTGGTTTATGCTCACTTAGCAGGAAGCGTTTTTCCTGCTGTATGAAGCAGCTGCACGGGTGTACATAAGCATATCATTATATAATACTAGCGGGGAGCGACTGCTTTGAAGGGTAATCTGTGGAATTATGTGCTTATTCCGCCACATCTGTGGTTTAGCTTGTTGATTGAGACAACCGTATCGTTGTGCTTCCGCTGCCTCTGTGGGTTGAGTTTTTGTTGACCAATCCCCTCTTTCCGGGTTTGGGAAAAACACTGTGAATGCCATTTACATGTGCTCCTTGTATATCAAGTCTGATTTTCACTGCCAATATTGTGGCTCTTTTTTGTTTTTATTTATTTTTCATGGAATGAAGTCTTTCAGGCTATTAGTAAAATCTGGTCTCTCTTCAATCTGATGTCTTTTTGAAGTGTTCATATTTTCAGGGGAAAGAATGTATGGCGGGCCAGTTGTTGGATGCCCTTTCAATTTTAACAACAGGCTTGTATGTAATTTTTGTGCTTTCTAGTAATCTTTTCGGATTGGTTAGAATAAAATGCGTGACGAGAATGATTTTTTTTTGTTTCAGATGAATAAATTATTTATGGCTAAGATTGAAGAATGCTCGTGTTTCTGAATTTGCAACTGAATATAAATATTTATGAAGTCTCTAATAAGTTGATAATTTGAGTCATGGACAAATGTGACCCGATTTTTTAAATGTTGTGCAGCTATGAAAGTCGCACTATTTGTCTTTTTGTCACCAGCCTATAACATAACATGGCCGGCCTGTAATACAAGTCACATTATTTATTTGATTCCAGTCTATAATTCACTAATTCTTTACATGCTTTAAGTGTTGCGGACAGTAGCGGCAAAATAACAGGATAATAGAGTGAGATGTATCTAGGTTCTAAATCTAAGATCGTGATTCTTGGTCAAAAAAAAAAAAAATCTAAGATCGTGATTAGTTGGTTTTGTAACGATATTATAATGGAAAAAAATATATGATTCACAGATGCAGTTTGCTTTTAAAATATTGTCACGAGCCGAAAATACGAGTTAAGTCTGTCGAGCTACCCATTCAACTCAGGTTTTTGTTAGAGCCAAGTTTTGTAGGTCAGGATATTTTAGTGTGAATTGGCTTCTAGGAGCTTAAACAAACCCATGGGCTTTTTTTTCTGGCAGAGCGAGATAAAAATTGTTATTTTTTCTAAATTTCATGTGTCTGTTTTGTTAATTAAAAAGTCAATGGAAAACAATGGTGCAAACAACAAATTTTCACTTTAAGTACCATCGAATAGGTTCATAAAAGGTAAAAAACGCATACACATTCATAAATGTCTATATTAATGAAAATTATTAAAATTTATTTTGAAAATTTAATTTAATTATTGATGTTTAAAAATCCTTAAAATTTGAAACATGACTTTGAAAGAGAGGCATCCAGCCAATTTTCTCACTCCAACCCTAGTTACATATAGTTTTTTTTTTTTTAAAAAAGAAAACAGCAATTTCGGTTAGAAGTTTCTATTTGAAAAGTTTCGGCCCAGAGTGGCTTATGAGCCTGAAAAGCACGATTGCAAATTTTGATGCTGTTTGGTTAAGCGATTGGGCAATATAACTTTTGTATGAAAAGCTACTATAAGCTATAAGCTAAAATTAACAGTTTATGACTTATAGGCTTTGAAACATTGAGAGAGAAAAAGTTAAGAAATTTATTATCTTTTTTGGTTCTTATTATAAGTCTCAAATAACTAACTTGTAGATAACAAAAAATCAGTTAAAATTAGTTGAAAATAATAAATAAGTTAGAAATATACTTTTATTTTTAAATATGCTCCTAGAAATATACTTTTATTTTTTCATGTTTCACTTTATATTTCAATTATTTTTTATGATTTCTCTAAAGTTTTAAAATTTAATTCACTCAATCAATTTCACTTCTTCATATTAAATTAATTTAAATTAATTGTATTATCTCAATTCATTTTTTTCTCTGTTTTACGTTATATTTAAAATATTTTTTATGATTTCTCTAAAGTTTTAAAATTTAATTCACTCATTAAATTTAACTTCTTCATATTAAATTATTTTAATTTCATTGTATTATATGAAATGATTTTTTTTAATCATGTTTCATTATATATTAAAACTCGTACCTATTTTGATTATTTTACAACCAAACTTACTTTTACTCAACTATAATCCAAACAACTTTTTACTAATATCACTTTGTAAACTAGTTTTTCTGAACTCCAATCCAAATACAATTCAATTTATTTAATTTAACTTTTATCTAATTTTACTTTTCCAAAAACTGATTTTCTAATAAGCTACTTTTCTAGTAAGTTATTTTTCTAATCGTTGATCTAAACATACCTTTTATCGACAAGAATTTGGAGTACTCTGCAACTGCTTTTATAACTATACAAAAATCTTTAAAACAGAAATCATTTGCTGTCGCATATAACTAAATTGTAAATGGAAGAAAAGCAATCATTTGTCTGAGATTTTGAATGGTAAAAATCAACAAATCTACAACAAAATAAAACAAAAATCAAGAAATCATTTGAGTGACAGATCCACGAAGTCGAACCATGAAACAGACGTGGAAGAGTTTTTGAAAACCGGAGCTACAAATTTGCAGCTGGCGACCGCGTAGCGGAGGTAGAAAGATGAGGAAGTGGAGCTTGAGGGACTAGTGGTGTCGCTATCGGCGGTTTGGAGCTTCGTTTTACCGATCAGGCAGACTCAACCATGCTTTCCTCTTCCTTGAATTAAAAATAAATAAAGAGTGCGACATCTTAAAAATTCGAAGAAAAAAGAAGTAGTCGAAAAAATGTATTTGAAGGGGAAAAAAGAATTTTCCAGGGGGGCTGGTAGTGGATTGGCTTTCCAAAAAGCAAAATTCATCTCAACCAAACAATGGAAAATGCCATTTCCTTTTCCTTTTCCCCCTACTTTCCTGCGAACCAAACGGTTCCTAAGGGAGACTGGGGAGAGAATGTTTCACGCCTAGATGCTACCTGGCCCAGAGAAACATATAATTACAATTTAACAGGGCGAAAAGGCCAAAAAAGGACAGACTTGATAAAAAATTTCAAAAGATTTTCCTCTTTCCAAGGGGGGGCTTGCTGTACAAATCTGGTAATATTGCTACATACATATCCACAACTTTATGGGACCTATAAAAATTTATTATGCTACATATACCAGACACCTACTGCTCCTGCTGGTTAAAAAAAAAAAAAAAAGAGACATCTACTGCTCCTTAATTCTGCTCACAAGCAAGTTATTGAGTGCATCTGCAAAACTAACTTTCGCGTGGATATTCAAGTCATCGTGATTCATGTATTCTATATTAGATTGTCAAAATTGGCAAGATCTCCTCTGACAAAATTCATCCGCCTTTGATCCCTACATGAAGAATCAAACCCGCTGAGGTAAATGATCAGAAAGGAACAAGTTTAGACGGATAAAAGTTTTTGCTAGACTCTTTTCAATAATGTGATTCTCATTCTCATCGCATGTTATAATAATACCAAACACCCAAAGCAATCTAGAAAAATAAATAAAAAGGAACAATACTACAATGTTACATATCAACTAGCGCTTCGACCTATTATCATATGCATTTGCCAAAGAAACCCCTTCAACAGCTCTACTTACTACTACTAAGTTTTAATCTAAGTGTTCTGTCAGACTTTAACGGTCAACAAAGAAGCCAGTGGAAACTATTTTCTCTGTTGAGACTTGAGAATCATATCATGCAAGGAACAAAGAGTCGCTTTTGCATTTCTTCTGAACGATGAACAAAGTTAAGAGCAGTAATTCCAGTTATGTTACTTGAGGAGCATTTCTCAACACGTCAACACATAGAATAAGTAGGTCAAACCCTGAGGGGCTGGGTTCAAGATTGGCATTAATCCCTCAAGACGTCCAACTTAAATCTTCAAGGATGCAGAAAAGAAATAACATGTTTTTGCCTAGTTCTCAAATCTCAAGTAATTAGAGCAGCTGTAGATTCACAGGCTAACTGATAAGAAGATAATTCAACAAACAAGCTTCCCACGACAGAACATACCCATATTCTTTGTGGAAAGTTCTTGACTACATGTTGATAGCAAATAACCATACCCCGGGGGGGGGGGGTTAAGTATATGCAGATCGCTCAAGTTTATCTAAACATTCTTGTGAATCCTGAATAAAATGGACACAACTCCACGAGAAAAGAACCTTAAAAGAACACAACGCTTGCTTAAATTTAAGAATAATTTTTTCACCCTAAAAAAAGAAAAGAAAATAAAATGTCCAGGATAAATCTTGCACTTCTTATAACCTTGGTTTAAGATATTCTATTTCTGGCTAGTTGTACAATAGTAGTAGTATTTAATGACTAAAACAACTATTGACACCAAGTGAAAATTAACTTTCAACAAATATGCAATCAGCAACAATATAAGCAGAATTACCAAATCAAAAAATGTAACAAGATGCCCAAATTGTTTTAGACCCCCCCCCCCCCAAAAAAAAAATTGCAGAGCTAATTCATGCCATATCAAATTAAGCCTTAACTACCATAATCCAGAAGTCATAAGCTCACCAACATTTTCCATTTCAGCTAGATTAAATTTCTAATAATCGTTTAACTTAATTATTCTTTAATTAAATTTCTAACGTTTTAAATTCTTCCTGCTCCATTGCATCTAATGATGCTACTCAGTTTCCTTGTACTTTGCATTCCTGGCCATTGGTTGGGAAATTTTCCTTTTAACTTAATACTATTTGCCTGTTTCCCAAAAGAAAAATTTCTAACCATCATTTATCTTTCTCCCTATAAGAACACCTGTTTCCTCACCAAATAGGTAATAATTCATCTGACCCCTGAGTCTAAGCAGAAACATAATGCAATTCAACTCAGAAAATCAGTACCTTAAATTAAAGCACTAGGTCACTGCCACTTTTGTTTCAGGTAAACAATCTCCAGCCATGGCAGTGCTCCTAGCAGCAGATTTTTCCAATTTTTTGACATCATGCTTCTCTTTATCAAAAGCAAACTCAAGTTGTTTCTCCACAGACTTAGCAAATGCTTTTCGCTTGAATCTTAACCGGTAAGGAGGAGAAGCATTAAAAGCCTTATTATTGAGAATGCCATCCCCTGCTGGCCTCTTGGATAGCTCACCATGCCCAGAACCAGCATTATACTTGGCTTTCTCCTCTTCATTAGAAGTATGAAATCCATCATCCACTTTCACATTTTTACAAGGAGTAACATGTGCTTGGACTACATTTTTTCTCTTCCTCAATATGGAAGGAGTATATGGGAAAGTTTTAGCAGCCATTTTCAATATTGATTCAGGAGTCTCTGTGCATAATTCACTGCCCTTCAAGCAAGGTGGAGTGAAGAAACCAACAGGTGACATCACTGGAGTAGCATTGTACTCGTTCTGCAGGCAATACATACTTAAACAAAGGGAATCTAACGGAACTGAGCTCTCCAACAATGGAGGTTCATAACACAATGAACCAGAGGCTGGACTATCCTGTGAAGACGTACCAATTAGCCTGCCACTACTCATTTCACCATTATTCACAAAATTCCCAACTGTATGCTTGCCATTCAGACGAGTCTTATCCAATTTTAGGTCACCGGTCAATCCAAAATTATCCCTTGACTCTGGTTCTGAGTTGCTGTAGCCAAGATCTGGATTAGATGATCTGGGCTTCCATTCTACAAAGTCAGAATCAGTACCTTCATTTGCAGGAACGCTCAGAGAATTACCAAACTCTCTCACTGTTGTGAAGGACTCCAGTTCATTCTTTCCACTGCCATCTTTAGTATTGTCTGTATTTTCTGATGATGTATCAGCAGCTGCATCTAATACTTTATTTGAGCAAGCATGTACTGTTTTACTAGCGTAGCGTCTTATTGTATCTTTCACACCACCTTGTGCACTGTTCTTTTGGATTGGTGGAAGGTTTCCTGTAGCTAAATAAAATTCTAATTTTTTTTTCAATGAACTATTCCAGTGGTTCTTTATTGCATTATCAGTCCTGCACACAAAAAAAAAAAAAATTGTTCATTAATTTGAATTTATACAAGAAAACATACATGCAATGAAAATGCCAAACAAGTTTTTATATTTGACATCATAGATATATTAGAGTAAGTTACATGAACTTCTTCCCTTATTTTCACATACAAATGAACCACTCTGAAACAGAAAATAATGCAACATAACAGGCCAATTCTGCGGCTAAAATACCATTCATTAACTTACATTTTTGGGTTAAAAGTTAATCAAAAACCAAATCCACTTCTTTAAATTTGTTCGTAAATCTGAAAGCTTTTTTTTTTTTTTTTTTAAATTTTATCTACAAAAATTTGGATGTAATACATATTTATGACCTTAATTTAATTATTGATAGGAAAAGCTTACCTTCCAGGCAAAACCTTAGCTATTTCAGCCCATTTGTTCCCATGTATGCGATGAGCATTCATGAGGGCCAGTTCTTCCTCCAAAGTCCAGGCGTCCTTCTTTATTTCAGGATTAAGATGATTGTGCCATCTGTCCGGAAATTTAATATCATGAACATGAACCCAATTATTAAGCCAAGACATCATTTTTAAGCATATTACAGATTCAATGTTCTGAAAAATACATGATAAGAGCGAAACTAGAGAAAAGGGAAAAGGAACAAATAAAATACTCCCTCAGGTCCTTTATGTCAGTCACAGCCTAGAAGGATTTCTCAATCTTGTATACAAGTCACTTCAGCATATGTCTGTTGCATTAATTACTTACTTCCATTTACGCCCTTGGTTTGCAATTAAGACAATTAATATAACATTGAAATTTAATGCAATTAGTAAGGGCGGTGATGCAAAGTATTGCCTTTTTTTTTTTTTTTTAATCATCTAACCAACTTTTAAAACCTTTTCTTAGCATGTGCAAGGTAGTTAAAATTACCCATAGTAAGGACCAAAGTAGCATCATTTAGCTCATAGGCAAAGCTAGAAATAATAGTCAAATGTAATAGGTTCTGAACAAAAACTGATCTTTTGGAGCCTAATAATTAGAAGATTGAACGAGAATTATCAATTGATTTAAAACAATCAGAAACAACTGAAACTTGAATATTTAATTGAACAAGGTATTCCGTCATTTATAAGCTCACACTACCACATACACTTCATTAAACATACCGCTCTCGACATTGTTTCCCAATGCGACCAGGCAAAGATTTGGCAATCATAGACCATTTTGCTGGCCCATATTTTGATACCAGTTCAACAATTTTGTCATCCTCCTGTAAGCCAAGCAAGCAAGAGAAATTAATGCTTCAGTAAAACAGTAGGGAAAAAAAAAGGAAACAGGGCAAGGTTCAACCTCAGGAGTCCAAGGGCCTTTAACAAGTTCAGGATTAAGAACCTTTTGCCATCTGTGCAGACATTGCACTTCTGACCTATCAGGAAAAGACTCAGCTGCATTCCAAATTTTAAATAGGTGTCATGATAACAAGTGTGATTATTTTACAGGAATGTATGATCAACACATATAAGAACATATTATTAACATACGCTACTCCTGCAGTTCAGAGACATATTACTCGTCCTTTACAATATATATAGTGATCAACAATTTATACGAGAAAGCAAGAAAATGAATATATGTATCAATTATAGTTCTTTGCGTTCGACTTTACGCCTGCCAAAGTAATGCCAACTTAACTAACAATCATCATCAAGCCAGTAATAAACTTTCTCGAGTATCAGAAACCCATAAATTGTAAGCACAGTAGTCATGTCTAGAAGGGCAAGACTTTCATTATTATGTCTTCAAGATGAAGATTCATCATGCCTTCATTATGACATGCCAGCTGTATACACACAAAATTCTGATTAAAGCTCTGAAAGTTATATTTACCTTGTTCCTTAAACTTCCAGTTGTCATATTATTGATCTTATCCCTTCAGTTCTTTTAAAAATCTCATTTAAATTCAAATACCAGTGTTATCCGAACAGCATCGCTTCCTATAAGAAGATAGTATGAACTGCAGAAAGAACTTCTTGAACCGTCTATGAATCATCACTGAAATTTTGAAACTAGATATCTGTATACAACCAAGCTGAATTGCAATAAATAGGTATATATAAATACCTATTTTCTTCCAACTCTTGCCCTTGAAAGCTGCAACAGCATTCCTCAATGTCTCGTCCTGCAGCAAGTTGAGGAAAGCATTCAACAACAAAGAGGAAAGAACCAAGAATAAGAAGAAATGCCGTAATGTTCAGGACTAAGCAACAACAATATAAAACCCTAAGAGTTTTAAGCTAATGATTGCTTATGGACAAGTACTTCATCGTCAACAGGTACCATTTTGATTGGATAGCAAGTAAGCAGGAAGATATCTAACAAAGAAAAGAAGCACAGAAGACAAGCAGCAAATGTCTCTAAGGACTAACCTCCTGGGCTGTCCAACCTCCCTTTGCACGCCTGATGGGGCCAGTGGTCCTCCTGTATCATCAAATTATTTACACATGATGACAAGCAAAGCATGACTATCACATGCAAGATTCAGAATAGTCAAATCATTCTAAAATAGATTGGAAATCAGTTGCTATTGCAAAATGTGAAATTTGGCAAAACCAGTGGACGCTGAATTAATGCCAGGTTCGAACAAACAATTTTCAATTTCCAAAGAATGACATTAATTTTGTGATTGTAATGAAAAGGCAAAGATCATATCAGATGTTACCGATGGGAGGGTGATGTTGATGCTGGGCTACATCTTCCCGGGGACTTGTGGATAGCACTGGCACTGCCTTCAGAGATAGAGGAGGTAGAGGCAGCAGTAGATTGCTTATTCTCTAGACAACACTCCTCTGATTTCAATTCAGCCATATCTTGCTATAACCATCTCCAGAACCCAAAATCCTAATCAACAAACCGGTGGATATCGTAAAAGGCTAAGGAAGATCTTCAGACGACATCAACCGAAATATACACCAACCAACAAAAACCCTAAAAAAACCCCACTAAATTCCAGAATTTCGAAAGTCCCGCAGCGAAATATAAAAGCAAGCAGAACCTAGATCTTATAAACGGTTATCAGATGAAAACCTACAGAAGGAAACGCCTTTGAATCCTGATGGCTTGAAACACTGAATTCGTGGGTTCTCACCGAAAGCAAACAAACACCAGGGTCCATTTGGGTAAGGAACAAATCATCAACCAAACTTGCTCGTGGTCGAGAAAACCGTAAAGACTCGATCAAACACGGAGGTAGAAATAAGAAGAAAGCGAGCTGAATTTGGCGAGCAAAAAACAACAAAATCGAGAAAAGATAGTGAATTTCCAATAGTGAAGTACCTCTGCCTGGGGATAAGTGGCGGGAATCCAAGTGAATCAAAGTGAATATCATAAAAAGGGAGCCAAAAAATCCGAGCCCAAGATACCTCTCTGGGAAACAAAGCGAGCTATGGGTTCGAAAAAACCTCGCCCGTTGAAACAATGAAGGCAATATGGGGAAAACAAATAAAATATAAAGAATTAGCGACTTTTTATATGTAACGAATACATAAGCACCGACGTCTCCGTTAACTGCCGTTATTGATTTTGTTTCCTTCACTCGTTCTTTTCGGTTTTTTTGGTTTTTGGCCACGTTATTCCCTTCCCTCTTCGCCAATTCACGGAAAGTCGGAAACGTCATCACAGAGTAATATTGACAACTTGCATTAGCTTAGATTAAATAGTGCACTTTTATGTTTTGAAATAAGTAATTATGATTTATGAAATAATATGGCTTAAGCATACAAAAAATATGGTCAAAATGTTTTAAAAATAATATTATTTTTATCCAAAATAAAATTCATTATAATACTTTTATGATATTATCTAAAGTAAACGTGTAATTTTACAGCTAATATTATTGTTTAGGTGCATGCTACACCCCGATATTTTTAGTGGTATAATTTTACTTTTAATCTTAAGATAAAATTGCACAAAAAAGTCATTGTAAAATTGCACAGAACAACAAAACCATGAGTAAAATTGCAGTGCTAAAATGATGGTGATGTTGGGTGCATCTAGAGTAAAATTGCACATTTATCCTATTTCTAATTTATATTTTTAATCATAGATTTAATTTAATATAAAATTTGGTTGGCAAAAAAAATTAATAAAAAATTTTAGTTATGGCAATATTTATGTTTGTTATGATAATTAAATCTAACGTCAATTGATTGCCACAATTGAAGTACTCCTCCAGTCCTTAATATAAAATCCATTTAATTAATTTGATTAGATTAGGTAAGTTAGTTAGTTATAAGAAATGTGACACATTTTTTCTCAAACACCATAATTATCTTTTTTAATACCTCCTCCATCTTCTACTTGATTATGGTTGAGGAAGCATCCATAGGAATAATTTAGAAAAAATTGATAAAAATGATAAATGAGTCTTATATTTAAAACCAAAACCAACTTAATAATTAGGTCCTATATTAAGGACCGGAGGAATATTATAATTAAAGCAATAATCAGGGTGGCTTGGAGGATTACGCTGGACTAATTTGGGGCGACCAAGACCCTTTTGATTTACCAGGTCATCATATTTGTTGATGCCACGAGGCTTGAAAACCTTAAATGGCTTCGCGTGGTTGACCTCCACAGAGTCAAAAGACTAACGAACACATACGTTATTTCCACTCGTGTTGGTCAGGGATTTCTTGTCTGACAGCCTGATATGGCAATTTTGTTTGTCGAGAAGAGAATGAACCAACGACAAGATCCAAGAATGCTGCCAATATAATGAAGACTTTGATGCTCACACCAGAATGAAGCCGCTTTTTTTTAACCTTTTGTACATGGAAAAGCACTGTGGCCAGACATTGAAATTGTAGCGTTTGTACATATCCCATGTGAGTGCAGTTTTAAAGCATCCATATATTCCTATTGTCCATAATTTCCTGAATCATGTTCTACATATCATTGCTGCAATGCCCTTCGATCTTCAGACAGAGAGACAGAGAGGGAGAGAGAGAACTAATGAGAACACCTGACCCAGCATTGTCTCTTTTTGGTATTTCGCTCGGTCTCAGTGTAGAAAACTAGAAGTAAAGGAAATAAATGAAGTGAATTATTGTATGCTCTTACCTTAATTTTGTGGAACTGATGTTCATGACCCTGATATTCTGCTTGGTAGGAAGCACTGAAGATAAGGGATAGAGATTGTGAGTGTATTGAAAAAAATTATTAAAATAATATTTCACATAAGTAATTGTTTGTTATATGATATTAGTCAAACCCATGTATATGGGATTGGAAAATATCATAGGGGAAGTGATATTCTCCAATCCTACCTTCAGGAGTTTGCTTAATTCTATATAACAAATAATCTTTTATATTAAACACTTTTTTAATGGATTTTCTCAATCCCAACCTCAATTCTTATCTCTAATTTTTAATACTTCTTACCAAACGGGACCTCAGAAACTAAATGACATGATTGTTCATGCGGATCACACTTGAAAATGAGCATAGCCAAGTTCTAAGATTTGTATGACGAAATATACTTAATTAAATTATTAAACTATTAAATGCCCAGCATTAGTCTTTTAATTTTTGCAAGGACAAAACTTACCTCCAGTTTCTTATATTCAATCCATCCAATTCTCCAATTAATAAATGCTTCTTGGATTAATTAACACATCATTATCCAATTAATAAGGAGCGGCAAATCACTTGATCAAACCTACACTCCTATATATCTCCCCAAATGTTCCAAGCTGCCCTATAGCGATGAAATTTAACACAAAGTGCAAATGATCTTAAATTATAGTTTTGTATGATAACTGGCATCTAAAGATATTATATCTCTAAAAGAAAAATAATATAAGCATTTTTATATCAGCCTACAAAATATTTGTGATTTGATTATGTGTTTAATGAATCTAAGTGGCACCTGTTGATTATAAATTAGTAGATTTTAAAAAAATAAATAATACCTCAGACATTAATTATAAAATTTAGTTTGCAGTGCAATTAAACCAAAATTAGTAGATTGTAAAATTGTATTGCCTTATGGCTCTAGCCGGTGAAACTTAAGAGATGTTTGGATTGAAATCAAATCATAATTTTAAAAATAATTTTATAATATATAAAATAAATACGTAAAAAAGTTTGTTTTAATTAAAAAAAAGTAAAAATACTTTTGAGTGTTAACAGTAGGATGGTTTAAAGGTTTTGTCTGTTATCCGTTTGTTTAATTTTGTGGGCCCACAAAAATTGGCAAGGCCCAAACTCAAATTCAAATTGAGAAGCCTCTCGTCTTAACGGTCAGGAGAGATCCTTTTTCGCCTAAAGTCCAAACGGTCGGGAGATATTCGAAACCACCAGCTTCGGGCCTCTCCGGGATCTTGAACTGCGTTTTCAAGTTCCGTCTTCTTCTTCTTCTTGACATCCATTAATCTTTGAGAACTTGTCATTGAAAGTTGAGGCCTTTTACCCCCATGGCAACTCTTAGCTGCTCGTTGAACAATCCGAAAACTTCCGACTCTTGCACCCCTTTGAAACATTCACACCCCAGGTCAATCTCCAAGGTCAGGGTCATTATAAGAGTTCGACCCTTTCTTCCTCACGAAATATCTGCAAGAAATGGAAACTCAAGTGCATGCATCTCCGTCCTGGGCCTGGATTCTGAGTCCCCGGAGGAAATCACAGTTTATCTCAAAGATCCTGAAACCAGGTCTGAAAAGCGAGCTTCTTTTCAAGATTTCCTTTCAGGAAATTATATTTTTGAAGTTTTGATTTTGATGATAGGCTCTTTCTATGTTTTTTGTTTTGTTGTAGCCGAAAAGAGTGTTATCAGTTGGATTCCTTCTTTGGCCAGGAGGATAACAATGTGGGTAAGATTTTCCACCGAGAAGTAAGCCCTTTGATATCAGGTATCTTCAGTGGCTGCAATGCAACGGTGTTCGCTTATGGAGCTACTGGCAGTGGAAAAACATACACTATGCAGGTGTGATCTTTATGAAACATTTACTTGCTTTCTTAACTGTACGTTAGTCGTGTTGAGAAAAAATTAAACGTATGACCAGCATTGTCGTTCTATGTAGATGTGAAATCTGAGGTTAGGACGGTGATGTTTTCATATATTAGACTGCAATAGGTAATGGTAGAATCCTATGCACACCAAAAGAATTGGTCGAAGTCTTCATAAAATTAGAACCGAGAACTTTTCTTCTTTTTTGCATCCAAGCTCAGCAATTAACGGGGGAGAAGGATTTTGAGTTTATTCAATTTTCAGCCTTTTCTTTTGGGAATTTGCAGAGGGTATGACCAGCATTTGTTTGAGAGTAGGGCGGGGTGCATTATTCAATGAAAAAAATCTAACAGGTTGGGATGTGTTTTCTTGTGTCTTTGATTTTCATCTATGTAAGGTTAATATTAATAATTTCACCATTTGCTCCCCTTTTTCATTAATGATACTTTAACCTCCAGACAAGCCTTAAATGAGATGTTTTTATTATCCGAACCTTTTCCCTCCTTTTGGTATCCTCGCTTAGCAACTATAGCGGTTAGAAGGGGTATGAATTCGTACAACCCGTGATTCTTGGTGCTCTGGGAGAATGTGGTGATTATGGTATGGTAATTATTGGGGAAATAAATTTTTCATATTCATGTCTTTTGTTCTTTTGTGTTTTGTGAAAAATATTGCAGGGCACTGAGGAACAACCTGGCTTAATGCCACTAGCAATGTCTGCGATCTTGTCAATATGCCAAAGCACTGGTGGTACAGCTCAGATTTCATACTATGAGGTTTATATGGACAGGTGCTACGATCTCTTGGAGGTCAAAGCAAAGGAAATTTCAGTGATGGATGACAAGGATGGACAAATTCACCTCAGGGGACTCTCTCAGGTTCCTATACACACAATGTCTGAATTTATGGAGACATTTTCTACTGCTGTGCAGAGAAGGAAAGTTGCACACACAGGCCTCAATGATGTCTCAAGTAGGAGTCATGGGGTGCTTGTGATTTCCGTCTCCACTCCTTCCCATGATGGCACCAGAGGATTTGTGTGTGGGAAGTTGAACCTCATAGACTTGGCAGGTTATTTCTATATTCAATTCAATTGGTGTTTGGGATGAATTTTTTAGTTACAAAAGACATAAATATTGACACATATAACGCCATTTAATTAATTTTTCTTTTTTCTTTTTGAAACCATACTCTCTGCCTACATTTATTCAATTATTTTCACATATCTATATTACTGTTTGTAATCTATAATATAGACTAATAACTTTATATGTTTATTAAGGATTTATTCAAAGTTCTGGTCTTCCAAAATTTGAGTTTTCAATGGAGTTTTATAAATATGGAGATTCCATACATATCCTGATAGGAAAAGAAAGTGGGGAGGGGAGAACTTTTTCTTGCAGTGGAGAATGAGGATTGAGAGGCAAGGGAGTGACAAGTATGGGAAGAAGGGAAGGCCTTTTTATCCTCATCCCATCCTATTGATCCTAAGACATGGTGTGACATAAAAACAGGTCACGTTAAACTACTATTTAAAATGTCATTCGTAGCATAGATTGCAGGAATTTAAAAATGTCAATCGTGGCCTAGGTTGCAAGAACTTATGCTCATACCATGCTGATATGCGTATGATTGAACCAGGTAATGAAGACAACAGAAGAACTTGCAATGAAGGGATTCGTCTAAAAGAAAGTGCCAAAATAAATCAGTCTCTGTTCGCATTGTCAAATGTGATATATGCCTTGAACAATAACAAACCTCGAGTACCCTATCGAGAAACCAAGTTGACCCGGATATTGCAAGACTCTCTTGGAGGAACTAGCCGGGCACTCATGGTTGCTTGCTTGGTAAGTTTGACTTTTAATGATTCTTTCTTTCGTTTTTTCTTTTGGTTCAGTAGACCTTGAAATAGATACTCTAGTTATATGAAAAAGTATGAATACTGACACGGACATGATCCACAAAACGTTGCTGAATGATAAACTGTGTAATATTTATATGAAATTCGAAATTCATACTTTATCTGATATAATGTTTTTAAAGACATATATTGGATGCGGGCACAAGTCTCCTTTTGTTCTAAGTTTCCATATTTACCATTTGAGTGGCCATGAAAATGTTTTATATTTTATTTCAGAATCCAGGAGAATACCAGGAGTCTGTTCACACAGTGAGTTTGGCTGCTAGGTCAAGGCATATCTCTAATTTTGTACCTTCAACTCAGAAACAAGAGACCCCAAAAGTTAAAGTTGACATGGAATCCAAACTAAAAGCTTGGCTAGAATCAAAAGGCAAAACAAAGAGCTCACAAAGACTTAGAGCATTTAATTCTCCATGTTTAAGGAAAACTCCCAAGTCCGTAAACTCTGCCAAGAGATCTGTAACCTTCGACAGTTCTGTGAAAGGAGGAGGAACTGCTAGGACCCAAGATGCTGAACAAACAAAAGAAAGGTAGATAGAGGTTAAAGCTTTTCTGAAATAACGACGGAATATTACTTTTGTCATTGACATTTTGTGTTACTTAATACTACTATTTATGTCTTATTGTGCTAACAGGGCTTTTGCTGTGGCCTTTAGAAATCTACCAGATGGTGAAGGCCCTTTTGATTTTTGTTTGGAGGTTAGTGTGAATACTATAAGTGTATTAAATGTGCTAAAACTCCCACCAGCACAACTTCTAAGTGTTACTAATACTGAAATTGCAAAAAATGCACAAATACATACTAGTAAACTCTCATTTTCTTCTAAAGATGACCTTCCTATCAATTATCAAATTAAAGTTTGAATGTTTCGAGTCACAATATTTGAGTCCAACTCTCTCATCGCTTAGAAACTTTGTTTCCCCTTTCAGCCCAACTCTATCTAATTTTAGAACTCTTTCCATGCGGACTCGCACTTAGACATCCCCACAATCTGCTTCCTAAAAATTATGTTGTATCATCTTTTTTTTGGGTTACATGTGTTGCATCATTTTTTCACTAATCTTACTTGCACAACTAGTTGGTGTAAGAAATATGCTGAAGAATCTTGACTAAAAGTCAATCATCTTTAATGAAATTTCAAGACCTTATTTTTAATGTTCATTATGATGTTTCTTTGCTTAAATTGATGAAATATTTTGAGAAGATATACTCTTTGAAAATCTGATATTCTATAAATAACATCCAAGATTTAGAAAGAACTTTTGTCGCAATGTTTATGAATATTAGCTTATTATGCATATTTTGTGCATTAAATAGAAGGAATTTATTCTCATTTGCTCATATATAACGATATGAAATACTCTATAGAGCCCGCACCATGGTGATATGTACAATAAAGAAGAGATTGTAGCCAGTGAGGTTGCATCAGAATCAAATAATTATCCACTAGGTATGTCGCCAGTCACTTCTCAACATCATTATTCTATAGTATGAGAAGGCTAATTTATTTATTTATTTTGTTGTAGATGCTTCGTATAATTTAATGTAATTACTTATTAGTTATGAATCACGAACCCACTTATGTGCAGGCATCAGACACCGGCAATGTCGTGAAACATTCATGATATGTATTTGACATGTCAGAGAGAGAGAGAGAGAGAGAGAGAGAGATTTCAGCAATAGATTGATAGTTTATAATACATCATGAAACATAGAAATTGAAGCATATTATACTTCCTAAAGCAACATTTGATGCTCTGCAGTTGAGTCATTGGGCAAGAAGGAGAACTCACCCATTATGAACAGAAGAAAGGATTATTTGTCAACCACCACTGACAATGAAAATACATTACGAAGTCCTCTAAGAAAAGCACTCTCTCCCATCAATATCAATGAGAACCATAGGAACGGCACTCCGCTCGACAAATTAAGTGCAAGAAGTTCTACATTGAAGGTACTCAACTATTTATACCTCCCAAGTTCCCTAGACTTTTTGAACTGTCATTCTCACATCTCATCTCTAATCTCTAATTTAATAATCTGCAGAACTGTCTAGTTCAGGAATACATTTATTTCTTGAATAATGCAAGCAGGTAAAACAAATCCTTATACTTCTTCTCTCTTGCTTGCTTCATTTACAGAAATTTAGTAATCATTCTTTGTATTTCTTAATTCTTAACCAGAGATTTGATATCTTTTTTTCTTTTTTCTTTTTTTAACTTGCAGAAGGGAACTGCTGGAGTTGAAGGTATGTGAAATATACACACTGCTTCACACAACTTGACCCAATCAATTAAGCCAGTTAGATAAAAAGATTTTTATTTATCTCAAGTTTGTCCTTTTCGTTGCTTATGTATTCATTATTTTTCTTCTATATTTCTTAATGCCTGTGATTCACTTTCTTCAGGGTATAGGAGAGAAAATGGCAGAATATATTATAGATCTCAGAGCAGAAAGCCCTATAAAATCTGTAAGTGAAGAGAAATTTGTGAGACAATGTGCAATTTTATGCTTCTTTGCTTTTTTTTTTTTGGAGCAAATTTTTTATAGTTTTTTGCTAATGATGTTTGGGCATTACGCAGTTAAATGATTTGGAGAAGATTGGCCTCTCTTCCAAACAGGTATGGTAATGAAAAACTATATGAGATATGGCAAATATTGTTTGGAATTTGCCTTGTTTGCAAATAGTTTCTTCTTAAACTTGCCAAACTGAGAACTAGGTTTTCAAGCTTTCAAATTTTAAGAAATAAGTCTCTTATCTAACTTTTATCTCAATGATGCTTTTGACCTTAAGCTCCTCACATGCTAGTTAGGAGACCATCACACTAATTGTTGTAATTTTACCGATAGGATAGCTTTAATATAATAGTTCTGTTAAACATGATTGTTGGGATATTAAGTCTGGGTTAACTTGATTTGATATTGAAAAACGAAGAAGTTCACATCACATAGGGTTGGGCAGAATAAGAGGGTTATAAGTAAAAGACATATAAACTCATCGTCTTAAAGTTTTGGTTAAGATGTGGTGTCGAGCTCTTCTTTATGCTATCATCTTTAAAATGTGGGGTGTACATAGGGGGAGCACTCCCTGTTTCATTCCTAATGGTTTGATCTTTGAATTTGCCTCTTTTTTAATCAGATGTGTTAGAGATTGGTTCTAAGAAAACATTAGGATATAAAAAGAACTAAATGACCTTTTCTTTACAGGCATATAACCTGTTCACTAAAGCTGCAAGAACGCTATTTGAAGATAAAGCAAAAGATGCAACAGTAACTCGCTGATTTGGCTGTTTTTCTCTAGCCAATATCAATAATTGTACCATTAGTCCTAACTCTCTTCTCGTTTGTTTAAATAGCATTATTAGCATAAAGTTAGGTCATCCCTTTCCCCTAGCAACATCCTCAATGTTGCCTTGTGTTCGTGTGTGTACCATAGCGAAGAAGAACTATGTTCTTGTTTATATGTTAAATTAATAGTTTGGTATTTTCAAATTGAATTATTATTTTAACGTCATCTTTTAACTTTGTTCATGTCAAGTTTTCAACTTTCATTTGATATGTGCTACTGTATTTACTCCATATTAACAAGTACTCACATGATTCGAAATATACGATATAGTTGAGATATTTATTTTAGTTTTAAATATAATATTGTTTCTCACATTACCCTCGTTAATTTCATTTTTTTCCCCTCTCTGTCTCCTACAATTAAAACCCTATTTAATAAGGCTATTTTGGGAGAAATTACACCTTTTTTTTCATGAATAACAAACAATCAACTTAACTAATTTTTTTAAAGAAAAATTACAAATAAAGACCTTTCAATATATAAAATAGCTATTAGGGACCCTGAATTTGGAAAATAGCTTCAAAAGACCCGGTTCCAAATTGCAAATATGAAATGATGGTGGAATGTCCAAAATGCCCTTCTGTTTTTTTTCTCTTTCTTCCTCTCCAGATTTTTGACCTTTCCTCCTCATTTTCCTCTCTCTCTTCATTCTCTATTTTCTCTCCAAATTTCCTTCCCTCTCCTCACTCCTTCCCAAAGTATATAGAACTCACAATGTCTTTCGGTAGTCCTCTCTTCATTGTCATCCCCCGTCACTTTCTTCTTATCTTGCTTAGCTGCTCTTTCGTTGACAATGAAGCATCTTTCATCATTCTCTCTGTTGCTGTGGAAGGAGAGGAGAGTCGGGGAGTTTGAGGGAGAGTGACAGTCATTTGCAATGCTTGTAATGTTTGCTTGCAATGTGTGCGATAATTGCTTGGTGCTGAGACAACGCCCAACAAATCTGAATTTTTATTCTTCATTTCTATTTTGATTTTTAGCTTGTGTTTATAATTGAAAATAACAAGTTTGATAAGTTGTTGAAAATAACAAGTTGACAAGTTCTGATACCCACTTCACGATAAGTTCAGTAATGCGAATAACAAATTTAGCAAGGCAAATAACAACTTCTGATAAGCAATTCATAGAAATTCAAGTTTCTGTGTTAAAATGACAGTATTTTCAGATTTCTTTAGCAGATGACAAGTTCTGATACATAATTCATGACAAGTTCAATAAGGTGAATGACAAGTTTAGTAAGGCGAATGACAACTTCTGGTAAGCAATTCATAAAAATTTGAGTTTCTGTGTTAAAATGACAGGTTCCCATTAGATTTTCATACTTTTTCTGTTAAAATGACTGAATTTCCACATTGATTTATAAAATGACAAGTTTCCATAAGATTTTCATACTTTTTTTTGCTGGAATTACAGTTTTTACATTTCTGACAACAACCACTTCTGATAAATACGAAATAACAAGTTCACAATGAAAAATGCCAAGTATGGCAAATGACAAGTTCCCACAACGTTTTCATACTTTTTCATACTTTTTCTACTGAGATTACAATTTGCACATTGCTTATAGCAACCACTTTTGATAAACAGTAAATGACAAGTCCACAATAACGAATGACAAGTTAAGTATGTAAAATGACAAGTTCCCATAACATTTCCATACAATTGTAAATTTCTCTATTAAAATAACAATGTGCAGATTTCTGACAGCAAACACTTCTGATAAACAGTAAATTACAAGTCCATAATAGCGAATGACAAGTTAAGTATGTAAAATGACAAGTTCCCATCACGTATTGTAATTTTCTCTGCTGAAATAACAATATGCAGATTTCTGACAGCAATCACTTCTGATTAACATCTTTCATCATCAACTTCACCTCTCATTTCCTCCTAATGTATAAAACTATAGCACCAGAACTCTCATAAGCCCCTCAAGAAGCATGCTCATATCAACACTAGCAGCAAATGTACTACGATAATCATATCCACTCACAAGTGCATCCTCAACCATGAAATCTCAAATGTAAATTGTCATATCGTATGAACAAGAAACCATCAAATTCTACATATAAGGCGAGAACTTTATTCGTTTAGCACTGTATTTAAGGCTCATTTGTTCCTCACATCCTACATCTTGATCGATTTATCCACCGAAATACAATTATCATACTTGATTTTCACAATTTAGAGCTTGTTTGCAATTATCAGAAGTGGGTGCTATCACTAATGGAAACCTGTTATTTTAACACAGAAACTCAAATTTCTATGAATTGCTTATTAGAAGTTGTCATTCGCCTTACTAAACTTGTTATTTGCCTTATTAAACTTGTCATGAATTGTGTATCAAAACTTGTCATCTGCTAAAGAAATCTGAAGATGCTGTCATTTTAACATAGAAACTCGAATTTCTATGAATTGCTTATCAGAAGTTGTTATTTGCCTTGTTAAACTTATTATTCGCATTACTGAACTTGTCATGAAGTGGATATCAGAACTTGTCAACTTGTTATTTTCAACAACTCAATCAAACTTGTTATTTTCAATTATGAACACAAGCTGAAAATTAAAATAGAAATGAAGAATAAAAATACAGATTTGTTGAGCGTTGTCTCAGCACCAAGTAATCATCGCACACATTGCAAGCATTGCAAATGACTGTCACTCTCCCTCAAACTCCCCGACTCTCCTCTCCTGCCACAGCAACAGAGAGAATGATGGAAGAGGCTTCATTATCAACGAAAGAGCAGCTAAACAAGATAAGAAGAAAGTGACGGGGGATGACAATGAAGAGAGGATTACCGAAAGACATTGTGAGTTCCATATACTTTGGAAAAGAGTGAGGAGAGGGAAGGAAATTTGGAGAGGAAAGAGAGAACGAAGAGAGAGAGGAAAAGGAGGAGGAAAGGTCGGGAAGAAGATCTAGAGAGGAAGAAAGAGAAAAAAAAACAGAAAGACATTTTGGATATTTCATCATCATTTCATATTTACAATTTGAGACCGGGTCCTTTGGAGCTATTTTCCAAATTCAAGGTCCCTAATAGCTATTTTATATATTGGAGGGTCTTTATTTATAATTTTCTCATTAACTTAACTAATTTTCTTAATTATTATAAATTAGTTAACAAAGTTTCATATGCAAGATGAGGAGCATTGCCTGAGGTGACAAGACATTACAGCTGAGTTTACATATATATTTGATGAAGAGATGATGTATGAGCACCAGGACAACTTCCAAGGCAAAGACTTGAAAAATATATGAATTAATTAATAAAGAGTGCCCGATAGTAGTGTCTCGAATAAAATTGCTTTTAATAAAAGTATACCTATGCTCTAGAAAAAAAATAAGAGATACCACTGCCTTGAGGAAGCCGTCTTAATAATTGAGACTAAATTAGCTGCTGGTAGTGAACTGGATAACTAAATTAAATAATGCTGCGTTGTCGAAGAGGGGGACACAAACTGTATTTTATGATCCAGTTGCTTTGCATGCCGCCGTACTCAGTATGATTGTATGCAGCTCGCGCATTCTCGCATACTTCCTAATATTTAAATCATCGTACAAATATAACTTCAACTGCCCCCACTCCAAACCAATAAATTCAAATAATAGTTTAATCACAGACAAGCGTTCGTGTTAACATTGAAATTTCCCCAGAAACTGCTTTGAACCTTTGTCCACGTTATCCAAGGGATTTAATTTGATGATTTAGAGTTAATAATAATTTGTAAAGTTTAAATTGATATGGATAGTGAAAATATATGAACGGTGCATAATTCCAATACATGGAAACACAATAAAGAAAAAGTTAATCACAAGATATCAAGTGCCAAAAAAAAAAAACTATTCTCGATGCCCCGCCTTCTTAATTAGTAGTCGCCGTGAGAAGTAGGGTTACTTTATATCATTGATTTCGACATGTAAAATGACTTCAGGTAATTTGGAACCGTGACCCAGACTGGATCATTTGAATTTTCATTTTTGAGATTTACCATGCTGTTCATTAAAACCAAAGAGATATAAAGAATGTAAATTTGACGTTGATACTTGATAATAAGTTTCACCTGAAGATGCAAAACTTATAACATGCATTTGAATATAATTTAAAGGAATTATATCGTTCCTGCTTCTTCCTTTTCAAAAAAAAAAAAATTCAGAAGCGAAGTAATCAAGGGTTTGTTTGGTTTCTTGTTTTGAAAACAATTTTTTGTTTTTAAAAACAAAAAAATAAAAAGAATTGTTGGGAAATTTGTTTTTAGGTGATTGTTTTAAAAAAAATAAAAAACAGTAACATGTTTTTAAAAACCAAAACAACTTTTACATGTTTTCTTGTTCTTGTTTTTGTGTTTTTTATTGTTTGTTTTGAAAATTTTTAAAAAATCTTCTTCTCTTCTATCCTACTATCCACTATTTATCGGTTTTCTACGGTTTTTTTTTCAAACATGATTTTTTTAAAATTATTATCCAAACAAATTCTTTTGTTTTTTGTTTTCAGAACTTATTCTAAAAAATAATTTTATAAAATTGTTTTGAGAACAAGAAAACAAACAACATAAACAAACAGGCTCCGAGATTCTTTGGAAGGGGTCAATGGCAAATTAAAGGCGAAACAGAAGATAGGAGTCAAAAGATGAATCGCGTAGAACACTTCGATAAGAAAAGAAGGTTAGAGGGGAATGATGAATCTTTTCAGATAATTGAGGGAATAGTTCATTTAGAGCGTACGTCAAGGGTCAGACTGAAACATACGTGTATGTGTATGATTCACATATATTTATGGTTCTCACTTTCTATTTGCTTGCCTTCTTTAAATTAAATGGGTTGAAATTAAAGGGCTCACGTCAAGATAAGAAAAAGACCAGCCAGCCAACCCAACGATAGCTGAAATGGTCCATTACCACTGATTCATTACAGCCACCAAGCTTGAAAATAACCAAGATATCAGTATCGTTGACGTGTTCACTACGCTCGGCTTAATTCCCATCTCACAATTAACACCAAATTAACACGAAACAAAGACAATCATATACCAGTCTCTTCCTTAACACACATCCAAGATACATATTTTTCACATTCATCAGCAGAGATGAACCTTTATGGACAACAACCAAATAGAAAACAAAGCAGCGGCCATTAAAGTCACAGGCAGCGACGACAAGTACAGGAAAAACAACAAACATAAGCACGCACACACAAACAGTCTCTCTTATTTCTGCATCATCTATCATGAAGGGGTCATCA